TGGTGCGAAATTGAAATCGCTATAGGTCCTCGGTCCTTTGCGAGTCCTTGTAACTTTGCTGCTAATTATATCGCATTTTCATGATTGCACCAAATGGGTTCATCAAACGATTTGCCAACGAGGGTCAAGTACATTTCGCCTGATGAAGAAATGGAATTAAATGGGTGTAGGGTGTGTTGTGGAAAATTTCAAAGAAAAAATAACCTCAAGCTGCCAAAAAGAGAGTGAATTGAAATTTCAAGTGGATGTACTCAAATTAAATGCTGAATTTATTTGATTTCTTTGTTCATGCTTCACTTAACAAGTTGAATACATAAAAATGTAAAAGATTTTTCAACATAGAAAAATAAATGGGAAATCGAAGCTATAAAATTGTTGTTTCGGCAGATTCTTTTGTTCAGCTTTCAAGCAAGTCATAAATCCTATTCACTAACAAGCCAATTTGAAATACCTGCCAAATTAATTTGCTCTATTAAGTTTGCTAACTAGCTTCAATCAATATTCAATCCAATTGGAGGGAAACCAAGTGAAATTCGAGTTCTTTTATGATAAATGAAAATACTCAAAGCTTTGTTATTTTAGCTTCTGAAAACGGGCAAATAACCACATTTTATTTGTTCTTTTAGGTCTTTGATTAGGAAATCTCTTCTCTTTAAAGTTTCGAATATATTTGCCTAACAGTCTGCAGATTTTTATCAAATTTTCTTTTGTGTGCCCTGGCGCAGAAGCAAAATAAAATAACATTTGGTTAAAGCAGAAATGTTGCGCCATAAAAACTTAACCGACATTGCTGAGATCCAGTGGAGATGGTAGCCCAATCTTTATTTATTTTCATAAATATTTTCCTTTTCCCGTCGCTTTTCCATTGTTTCTCCTCTTCCTTCTCGCTCGCTCCTCCTCCCTCACTCGCTCTGTCTCTGTCTCACTCTCTTAAAGCTTATTTCCTGAAGCCTGCTGTAGAAAATCAATTGAATGCCTGACTAAACGAAAGATATTGCTTTGCTTTGGCTTTTCTTTGGCAATTTCCGTACATTTTTCAGTCGTCTTTTATGGATTGCCGGTCAAATGGTGAGGGAAAACATGAGTCTATCCGAGATTCATTTGGGAAACTTATTAAAAAGTGCTGCAGTTACAAACCGTCAACCAGCATCGTCGTCGTCGTCATCACATCACCATCATCATCGTCTTCATCATCGACATCTCAGCCACATCGCTGTCTCTGGCACATCTCAGCAATTCCAACTGCAGCGCAATTGCCATCGCCATTGCACAATTGCAATTCCATCGCAATTGTAAAAAGCAACAATTTTTAATGCGTCTTGCAACTTTTATTTCCACTTTTAATGCAAAAACTTCACCCAGCAACTACTGCCATTGACAAGGCGAAGAGAGCAAGGGGGTGTGTGTGTGCGATTTTGCGGGTGGATTGCCACTTCTCCAGGCCAGTTACCCATTAAAAATGGCCTGACATGGGGCACTCGGAAAGGAATCATGGGCGTAGCAAAAAGGAAACCCTTAGGATGTTTAAAAAAATTACATACCCGCTGTAAAATCAAGAATTTTACGAGCAAAACTACAACTTTTAATTTATTTTAAAATGTTATATAATATATTCAGAGTTTTTTAACTTCTTATTTGTTATTTTTAGAAAAATATTTTAGGAAAATTATATTTTCGAAAAGTTGAAGACTTATGATAAGAATAGATCAGTAAAATATTTTGAGTGAAAAATGTCAACCAAGCGATTGAGCTAGTTTGTTTGTTTTTCAACAATTTTTTTAAATTTTTATTCCTTTTTTTTATTTTAATGTTTATTAATTTATTTATTTTCATGCGTCTTTGTGATTCGAAACAGATAAAATAGAAATAGTACTTATTTACCTTATATTCCATTCCTTTGTTATTTTTCGGAATAAGCTTGAATTTAGGTGCCTCTCCTGTGGTTCCATAAATCCCCGAAAAGCTTTGGGCTTCTTGTGTTACATATGCTAAGTGCAAGCAATATCCGATGAAAGCTAGGAAAATTCGTGAAAATCCATAGCATAACTTTGGGGGCTCCCAATTTTCCAGAGCCTGGGCAACAAATAGTCGATTCCGATTCAGTTTTTCCAAGGAGCCTCGCCTTCTTTCAACTTCTTTCTTGGCAACGGAGTTGAGAAAAAGACCTGAGTAAGTCGGGACGGGAGCGTAACATTTCCTGTTTGCGTTGCCATGATTTCCATGCCAGTTCCTCGCATTTCCGCCCCTATATGTGTGTATCCTACATCTGCATGTGTAGCCGTAGCCCCAAACCCCCGGACCCCCTTCTCCTCCAGATGTTGTGTGAATGAACGCTCGTGATGCCCGGGATAAATGTCTGCGTGACGCTGACACCCCCCTTAATTTTTTCCTCTCCCTTTTTTTTTTTTTCTTACCCCTCCGGGTCGACGCCTTTCATGGAAAAATATGCAATTTTATCGGTCTTTACAGATTTCCCATACAGTCGGTCGTATGAAAGAAAATTGAAACGACGTAAAGAGCTAAAGAAAACGCATGGCATGAAAGACATTTGCCAAGCAATGCGAATAAAGGGAAAATGTAAATATTTATCATACCGAGAAAGCAGCGTTACGTTACGTTAGGTTATGTTTTTTGCAACAGCAACTTAAAGCGTTTGTATAAATATAAATAATGCAGCTGCCAGCCAGCTAGATGCAGCCAGAATGTCATTTTTAGCTTTTAGTTAATTGAAAAGTGGAAATTTATTCGAAAATCCCGGTCGACCATGACTCACCGCATTAGCCGTCCGGAAAGCAGAAGAGTCGAGTAAAGACACGAGCTATTTTTTCTTTGCAAAAACGTGCCGACATTTTGGTTGTCAACACACACATCCGTATAAAATTCGAAGGGCTGGGGATTGGGGATACTATTCCCGGGTCCGCAGCATAGTTAAACTTTAGTTTTATGGCTGCAATTTAGTGAAATGTATGTTTGCTTAGCCCAGCTCAACCGGAGTCATCTCAACTGAGCTCAACTCGTCTCGTTTCGTTTCGTTTTCAGTCCGCTCTGCAGTGTTTGTTTGGCATTGTTTTATTTTTGCCAATTGTTTAGCTTTATAAAATATACGGATTTAAACAGCTCTGCTCCGGCTCGGCGAAGATATATGGCCGTTTTGTGCGAGAGGCACTCACATCCTCCCGGTTCGCATTTTTACCCGGCTGGAACCCGCAGAACCCGTAGCATTTGTTAATGAGGCCCACAAGAGCTTAGGAGTCCATAACAGTTGTGCTACTCGGGGTCCAGTTCCACCATTTTCAGAGGGTTCTATGTGTTTGTATGTGTGCTCATGGCGGGGACACCGGCGTTTAAGTACATTAAATTAACACCTAAAAGGTTGACAGATTTACACATTTTTATCTTAACCCAAATAAAGCCTCTTCACCCCATTTTGCGTAGCCCACATTAGGGATTAACATTGTTATGTGGCGAGTGGGTTATGCGTGTAAGTATTCCCATGCAAATGGAGGTATTTCAATGGATTAATATACAGGAATATGCTGGCTTTCACCGCATCCTTTTAGGGCGGGTCCTTGCTAATGGCTTTCGCATTTTTCTAAATAACTCTTTAAGCCAGCCTGGTTACTTTATTAAAAATGTTAGAAATAGAAAAAGTGATCTACTTTAGTAACTTGGAAACTTATTTCGAATAAAATGAACTTTGCCTCCTACTAATTCGAACTCGCTTTCATTTAATTACTTTTAGTTCAGCTTAACAGAAATAAAACAGCAATTGAATCTACCAAAAATGATCACCGCCTGTCGTTAAGATTGCCATTCGAACCGATTCAAACATCAATCACCGGTTTTTCATTCCCCATAAAACACATCCTCTGAACTAGTTCTCAGCGACCCAACACGTTTGCAATCATCCTTTGCTCCGGCTTGTACAAAAGCCTTACCAGCGGCAACAGGAGGATGGGCATGGTGATGGGAATAAGGATGAGGGGCAGGGGGCGAGGTCAAACGGTGCAAAGCGCTTTGCACCTGCACCATGTGCAGCAGCACCAACACCAACACCACAAACGTGCCTCCTCCTGAGGTGGCAGCCATAAAGTGGGCGCCAAAGCAGGCACTGGCATTACCGAACACTTGAAAAAATATTAAAAACAGATCTTACCCGTTGCCTTCAAAAGCCACTTGGCATCATTGTCCCTTTAAAAGGCGGCCAATGATGCCCATGTATCCCAAAACGATACCTTTGCAAAGTCAATTCTCCAGATATGCCATTTAAACTATTTTATTCTATTTTTTAAAATTAAGGGTTTTCGTTTCTTTTGTAGTTGGTTATAATATTAGTTTTCCAAAAATACTCGAATTTTGAAATTTTAAGAAATAAAATTTTCATTTTATTTTTTATTTATTTTTTTTTTTAATAAAAACTATTTTTCTAAACAAAAAGTTCATTAAGCCTTTTTCAATTTTAATATTATGTATTAACAATGATATTTTAGTTATAAATAAAAAAAAAAAACGCCTTTTATTTTATTTTATATTTATTTTAATTACTTAAAAAGCGTCTAAAGTCTGCATTTCTCCGAGTGTAGCTCGAGGTGGCTGCTGGTAGTACTGGCACTGGTACTGGCGCATCTGGCGCTGCTCCTATGGCTGCTTGGCCGGATGCATTGACCAAGGCTATTTAAGGATGCCACGCTCTGATGCGTGGCGCAGTTAAGACCAGAGCCTGACAGCGTAAAGGTCCTTTTCTCTCCTCGCCATAGACACAGCCACATCCACCTCTAGAGCCACAGTCACATCACCCAACTGCACTTTGCTCCGCAGAGCAATCGGTAATCTGCAAACTGCAATCTCATAAAAGGAAAACACTTGCCCTCGCACAACCATAACCACTCACTCGTATTGCTAAACTAAACGCTAATGCTGGAAAATTTGCTCTTCTCATTCTCATTCGCAGATATTTCCACGGACGGGACGACTTCAAGCTGAAATTGCGACTCTAATAGAGCAGAGGCCAACACGTTCAGTGTATAATATTTGAAATCAAAGCGTTAGGGTCCAACCATGACGGCCGTGTACGTGAATCACAAGCTCAACATGCGCACAACGGCTGTCAAGATGAAGCGGAGCCGACATCCTGCTGCATCCTGCCCCGATCCGATTTCAAATCCGAGTCCAAGTTTAAGTCCAAGTCACAGTTCGATTCCCACGATTCCCGGCAAGTGTCACGGCCAACCGGAAACGGAAACGGAAGCGGGCCGGGCCAATTGAAGCTCGAAGCAAGGACGACGCCACTAACTAAGATAATTCAATCGCGTTTTCTACACATTTACGGTTTACTTTGCCTCGGTTCCTTGATGGGTTGCATTAAAACTATCGGCGCTTCAATTGCGCAGCAAACGCTTACGGAAGCGGAAGCGGATGCACAAGATAAAGATAAAGAGCGGGAAGCGGAAACGGAAGCGGAAAGGAGAACGGATACGAAAGGGGAAGCAGAAGCGGATGCCCGCATCATGGCAACGGGAATTTGCATTATAAGACTGATAACATTAAAGAGATTTCTAGAGAATTCCAAAACCGACAGACACAATCAAAGGCGCCAGCAATCAGCAACGTCAGCAACATCAGCCTCACCGTCACCGTCAGCTGGAGGAGCATTCAGCCCGCGGCGGAGACACCTCCATTATCCAGGACATCCAGCAGGACAGCCAGGAGGACACCCGGAGGCGTGCACCCTGCTAATGCTCCTGCTGCTCACCAGCCTCTGGCCGGATTGCTGCGATTGCCTCCACGGCGGCAGCAACACGGTGAAGACCAAGTACGGCCTGCTGCGGGGCATTGTGGTCCGCTCCTCGCCGCTGGTGGAGGCCTTCCTGGGCATTCCCTACGCCTCGCCCCCGGTGGGCAGTCTCAGGTGAGTCGACAGTCGAGTGGAGTCGCGCCTTGGCGTGGCACAAGATTACGCCTCCCCGGGGGGTCGTCCACGGCAAAGTGAAAACTTTCTAAGCAGCGCTGACAGCGTGACACTCACGTGGGCAGCCACCTGGGCAGGATTGTGTGAAATGTGTGATGTCATTTCAGAGAAACTGTGAGAAGTTTTAGTTTGTGCTAGCTAAACTCAGCTTTAAAAGATAAAGCGTAATGGGGTGTCAAGTAGTATTATTGAGAACCACTGAGACTTCTTAGTGTCTGATATCTAGATCTATAAACGATAAAGCGGTAAAAGTTAGCGTGATAAGAATAAACTTACTGATTTGATCAACGTCTAATTAAAATTTTATATTATACTAAAAAACTGATTTGATGCAGATTGTCGTAACAGAATTAATTTTTTTAATTAAATATTTACAAAAATTATCAATGACATTTTGATAAAGGAAACTACAGGACATAAGCTAACCACGATACTAAACAGTGCTGCCATTTCGTCCTTTCCTTTCTTAAACCTAAAAAAATCTAATATTGTTTGTGAAAAATTTTAATCGCAATCAGAAATTGAAAAAATCGACTTACCCTGAGATCCTGAAAAATCCGATTTTGTGAGTGAAATGGGAGTTTATAAATATCCAAATCAATTAACATCAAGTACGACGATTTCAGATCTCATTTTGTCAGTGAATATTTATACTGTGGTCCATATCAGTCGCTAACTTTATTTAAAGGCCTCAATTAGAATTCAAATAAAATGTCACAAAAACTTCATCTCTCGTAAAAAAAATTTCCATTCGGTTTTAAACTTCACGTCGCGACGTAAAACTTTATTTAAATAAAAAAAATGTAAGAACCCTATTGCCATATATCCATAACAATTAACAGCAAGTTGATTGCTGCAAATTGCTGCAAACAAACTTTACAAGTTCTTTGCTTGCAGCAAACTTTTTGCACAGTGTGTACCTAGCTTTAGAAATAAAACAAAATTATCTAGGGAAAATATAAAAATCCTGTAGTATAAAAATTAATAATAATATGGCCAAAAATTGACATATTATAATATAATTATAATTTATAATTTTTAAGTAATAATTAGGGAGGCAAATTTTCTTACCGTGAGTCACGGCGCCACCTTTTTGTCCACCTCCGCATGGTGGAGCCTTCGCAATCTGGGCGCCACATGGGGGTCGTCTCAGGCTGAAAGGCTCGGACAACTTTTTTCACACAGCGCCGCAGCGCAACTTTATCCGAAGCAATTTTAATAATTATTCTCATGAAATATGTGTGTGGATGGTGCTTGGCACTATGCGGGTCTGGACCTCCCTCGCTTGAGTTTGCCTGCAAGTGAGAAGTTTACGGGATCTGGGCCCTCGATACCCCGACTCCCGTATCCTGGGTCGTGGGTCCTGGATCCCGGGTACCCGGAAATCCCAAAGCATTGTTTGAGGATTTAAAGTTCCGCGGGGACGAGAGAAAACGGAGCCGCCCGTAATGAAGCCAAAGTGCTACTTGGAATTAATCCACAACTTTGCACTGTGTATACGTAACAATTAAAAAGTTTTTTTTCCGGGAGTTAGTTTTGGGGTTACGATTTTAAAACACAGCCAAGCGAACTTTCTTGCTAGTGTTTCTCTTGAGGAATCGGAATAGGAATCAGCGAGGCTCCACACCCAATTAATAACAAAACAGTTGACGGCTCCAGGAGCCGCGAGCGTCAAGGACCTCTGAGCCGCAAAAGTTCGATAAGCCATTGCCGGCATTTGATGGTATTGCGTTGGTATTGTGGGTATTGATGGTATTGAGCGAACGGAAAGCTGAAGCCCCCGAGTGAAGTTTCTGGGATATTACAAAAGTTTCCCCTTACTTGGGCACTTTCACACTTATCCTTTGCACGTCGACCAAACTCGACGAAGGAGTGAAAGCTCCGTGTGACATGCACGAACAACAAGTGTGTTTGATGAAGCGATTGGATGAAGTACTTAAGGGGTCCTTCAACAGGAGCTCCATTGCTGTTGTTGTTGTTGTTCCTGTTTGCTTAGCCACAATTCATGAAAATTGTTCTTTAATTACTTCCTGTGGCAAAGTGTGTGACGGCTGCCTGGCCCGAAATGAAGTCGTTTATGAATGCGGTTCATTATCATGCAGCAACAGATGCCGGGAATCGACAAACAGAAGTTAATCAAAAGGGAATCTCCCAGGAGATTTCGTAAAAAGGAAAACGAGTGGGTAGATAAAACGTGTCGAGAGGTAATTAATCAATCGCATCTGTCGCCAATACTTCTAATCAAAAATGCACCATATATTATTAAAAAATAAAGTAAAGCTGGGCGCTGGGGAATCGGAGGAAAATCGAATACCGCTAAAAGCTTTTAATATTTTAGATGGTTATTTATATGTTCTCCCCATAAGCTTGTTAGCTAACCTGCACGAGTGCTGCATAAATGTGTGTACAGCATACTTTTTCGGGCTGCGGGGGAAAATTCAAAATTCAAAATTCCGTGTACGCGAAACAAGAATAAAACACCGAATAAAACGTTGCCTGTTAACACTCGGAAAAAGTTGCCAAAACAAAAATTGCTATATTCGTTTATAAATAGTTTATGGCGTAACTTTTTTTGTGCCGAAAAGTATTAATTTTAGCAAGCGAACATGTCGAATGTGTTTTTTTTTTTTTGGTTTTGGATAGGGAAAAGCGGGAAAATGGTAGGGCGAGTTGGTTAGGAGTTACCAAAAAGTAGATACGTGAAAAGCACACGAACCGAGTCACGTATAGCTGAAAAATTATGCTCGCCGCAAAACGCGAGCTTTTTGTTTATGCGGTCCATTGTTTGCCCTTTTCCCGGATGGCTAAATGGACTGGAAGGGAGGGACTTTTCCGAGCCACAAAGAAGCAAAAAACAATCAAAACGTTTCGCGTCAATTATCGTGTCATAAAATCAACATAGCCAAGCCATATTTATCGCCGCTGCCTGTCTCCTTCGCTTATCCAATCCGGGCGGCCAGTGATCGATGGATTTTAACGCAAAACAATAAAATGCACAATTAATCAAAAGCAGTTTGCAATTTTGATTGATGGGCGGTACTTAGTTTCTGTGTTTTACGAGCCCAGCGAATCCTTTTGCCTTAATCGCCACCAAGTTCCACACATCAGTGCCGAACTGCCAATCAAACAGTTGGGGCTCAAATAATAGCCATAAGAACTATAGTATTCCATAGGTTGTATAATAAGTCAAGAGATCTCCTGATAAAAATTACCTTTTACTTCTTAAATTACTACAAGCCAGTATTAAAATCTAAAAACGTATAAAAGTTGGAAAAGTAATTTAATTTATCTTTTTTTTGATCAAGAATTGTAGTTTTCTACAAACAAAAACTCAGTGAAAATATAATATATATTTTATAATTATTTTATAAAGATTTAATCTCTTTTTGTTGTAGGTATTTAATATTTCATATTAAAATATGAATATTAAAATGACTCAAATAACAATAATCCATTGAAATCTTTTTACTTAAACTTACTTGATTTGTTTAAAATATTTAAAATTTAAAATATTTCATTTCAAAATGTATATTTTCGAGAAAGTACAAACGGCTTGAAAAATAAACACAAATTGTGCTTTTATTTTGGCCCCGGCTGTCCATGTGTATGGGCACATAATGCGTATACGTGATGCGATAGTTGGTTGCCCATGTGGCCGAAATGGAATATTTACTTATCGAAACGACCGTTGTTCGCTCCTCTTGCAGATTTATGCCCCCCATAACGCCCTCGACGTGGAAAACGGTTCGCAGCGCGGATCGATTTTCGCCGGTCTGTCCGCAGAACATCCCCATACCGCCCAACGGACCGGAGGCTCTCCTCGAGGTGCCCCGCGCCCGCCTCGCCCAGCTGCGCCGCCTGTTGCCGCTACTCAAGAACCAATCGGAAGACTGCTTATACCTAAATATCTATGTGCCCTACGAGACGCGCCGCCAGAGACGTAAGTGCCATTTTCGATATTGATTGCGTTCTGGGGACCTGTGCCAGGCAATCGTTACTTAAGTGCGCCGAAAACTTGTGGGAAATCTAACCCGCTGTTCTCAATTTGTGCTACTACATATTTTTCATGTGGGGTTTGTTATTCCAAATAAATAAGATTTTTTCCTAAAATTATCTCAGAAATTTCTAAATATATGACTTTAATAAATATCAATTTATGAAACCCAAAGCTATATTTTTCTATCATATTTAAAGTATAATTGGAGTTTTAGCATCAGAGTAAAGCAAATAATTACTTTAATTCCGCCTCGTTTGCTACTCAAATTAATATTGAAATAAAAGTTGGTTGAAACTCAACTTTTAAAATTACCTAAAATCCGCGATAATTATTTTTAATTAGCTTAACAATTTAACATTTATAACGTTGGATAATCAAGAAAAATTTGAATATTTATTTAATTAGGTGATTCTGTGCACTCTTTTGAAATTCATAAAATTCTTTTTAGCTAAATGTACATATAAAAGATAACGAGCGAATGTGTGATGGTTCTTTGTTCAGTTTTCCTCAAAAGGTATTGAAGCTTTCAATTCCGTAGTGCATTGCAGTGTGCTTAAAAATCTTCTGCAAGCGCTGCGGATTTGGCAGCTTTGAGAACCTTCATCATCTGCTAGTCAAATGTGAAATGGCATAATAATATCTAAAAATAATACAAGTCACAATATAATTAACATACCTTCACCTGTTTGCCAGGTAATACCGATGATACTAGCGGCGATCCAAAGACCAAGTTGTCCACCGTGGTATTCATCCATGGCGAATCGTACGACTGGAACTCAGGGAATCCCTACGATGGCTCCGAGCTTGCTGCCCACGGCAATGTCATCGTGGTGACAATCAACTTCCGTCTGGGGATCTTTGGATTCCTGAAAACGGGCGGCAAGGAGAGTGCCCAGGGAAATTTTGGACTGATGGATCTGGTGGCGGGTCTACACTGGCTCAAGGAGAATCTGCCGGCCTTCGGTGGGGATCCCCAGAGCATCACTCTCCTGGGCTACGGAACTGGAGCTGTGCTGGCCAACATACTGGTTGTTTCCCCAGTGGCGAGTGGTAGGGCTATCCTTAATATACATTTCCAGTTCCCATTTGTATTAATTAAAAAATAAACATTAACAAGTGGGAACTGGTTTTTAAGGATCGCTTAAATAAAGCTTGAGAAATAATCATAAACCCCTTACCAGATTTAATACAGCGCACAGTTCTCGTAAGCGGCTCCGCCCTGTCACCCTGGGCCATTCAGAAAAATCCGCTCTTTGTGAAGAGACGCGTGGCGGAACAGACTGGCTGTCACGGCGACATGCTATATGACGACCTGGCCCCCTGCCTCCGGACCAAAAGCGTCGCCGAATTGCTGGCCGTCAAGGTGGATCATCCACGGTATGTCACACATTTCATTAATCCCGAACATGGTCGTGTTTCTCGCTTAAAAGCCGATTAATTGGAGTTCGCTTCAAGTGAAAGAGTTTAAAGTTTAAGCGATAAAAATATTGGGAACACTCATTTTTTAATAAAAGAAGGAATAAACGGGTAAAAATCATAAATATGATATAACATCGGGTAATTTGTTTATCTTATTTCCAATCGTATAAAAACCATTTACCCATATTTTAAATTTTTATGTAAATAAATTTGATGACTTGTATATTTATAGCTATTTTTAACGATTTATAAACTTTTAAACATTACTATTTTATTATATTTACTTTACAGTTTTTTATTTTAAGAATAATTAAATTAAAATTACCCAAATTTTCCATTTTTATGTAAATAACTATGATGTCATGTATATTTATAGTTATTTTTAACGACGACTTAACGATTAATAAACTTGTAAACATTACTATTTTATTATACTTACTTTACAGTTTTTTATTTGAAGAATAATTAAATTATAATTTATTTAACCTCTTAACTGGTGTTTAAATATTTTAGATTTCTCGTGGGCTTCGCTCCATTTGTGGATGGTACTGTAATATCGCCCGGCGCCAATCCTCTGGGCAGCACCACTTTGCCAATGGGTTCAGCTATTGTTAGGTAGTTAAAAATAAACGGTGTCAAAGAAATAAAGCAACTTATAAAAACTTTCACACGTTAACAGTACTTCAGGAATTGAATATGCAAACTTTCCGAAACGAGACCTCATTTTCTGCCTTACATCTGTGGAGTCGTATTTGGATTTGAGTGCCCAAGACTTGGAATTCGGCTTCAATGAGACGCGACGGGATCGCATCCTGCGCACTTTTGTGCGAAATAACTTTCACTATCACTTGAATGAGATATTTGCCGTTTTGAAGGTAAGGTCATGGGTCACATTGTTGCCTAATTAATTTATGCACTGTGTCGAAACGAAATCCCAAACTTAATTTACCGCAGAATGAGTACACCGACTGGGAGAAAGCCATACGTAATCCTCTTAGTTCCCGAGACGCCACCCTGCAATTCCTGAGCGATGGCCACACGGCCTCGCCGCTGATTAAGTTGGGCTATATGCACAGTCTGCGAGGGGGCCGCGCCTACTTTCTGCACTTTAAGCACAAAACAATCGAGGAGGAGTACCCGCAGGTAGGTCGATGATACACCCGAAGAAACCTGAGTGCATTAGTTATGGCCCTGAATTTGTGATCCCTTAGAGAACCGGCTCCGTGCGCGGCGAAGATGTGCCCTTCTGGCTGGGTCTGCCCATGTCCCCGCTCTTCCCCCACAACTACACCACTCAGGAGCGCCAAATTGGCCGTCTAATGCTGCGATATCTGTCCAACTTTGCCAAAACTGGGTAAGTCCAAGCATAGCCTATAAAATAGGAGTTCCACTTTAAAATATGTTTGAAATTAAAACGTAAAGACCGTTTAAAGATACCCCAAAAATATATTGAAGGTCGCTTGTTAATTTTCAAATTAATTGTGACTCATTAATCATATTAAATAATATTATTATTGTCAATTTTCAAATTTAAAATATATTTGAAATTAAAACGTAAGGACCGTTTAAAGATACCCAAAAATTTGTTGCGGGTCGCTTGTTAATTCCGAAATTATTTGTGGCTTATCGATCATCTTAATTAACATTATTATTGTCAATATTAAAATGAGTGTCTTAATAAATTTGCTAAAATTAATCTGGGTATAGAAAACTATCCTTAGAAAGTTTCTATTAGAAACTAATGTACTTCGACTTTAAAATCCACATTTCAATAGAAATTTAAAGAGTTCCACAAGTACAAAGATCTTATTTAAGGGCCAATTAAATGGGTATTATTTTAAACTGTTAGGACTATAAGAATTTTACTTTTAAATCCACAACTAAAAAAATACAATAATTTTGGATCTTGAATTTCTAAAATCCTTACCCCTATCAACCCCTTTCAAATTTATAGCAATCCGAACCAATCCACGGCAAAGTCAGTGCCCCCCAATCCAAACGAAGTCTTGGAGGCCGCTCTGCATCAGCAGAAGAAGCGATCTACTGGTCTGACCCATCCGAATCTCAGCGAGGCTCTTAATCTGGCCGTGATCTACAATCAGCGGCGGACCAATGCCATGCACGAGAAGCGATCCTACATCCGGCGAAGACTACGCAGCAATGATGCAGCCTTCACCCAACTGGGAATCTCCAGTGAACGCGATGTGGGCAGCTACGATGGCGATGAGCTGCCCTTCTGGGATGCCTACGATGTGGTTAACCAGTTGTATGTGGAATTGGGTAGGTTATAACTTGATATCAAGTGAATCTTTACATTTTTCTTAAACAATTTTAATGTTTTTAGGTAACAAGGCCAACATTCAGAGCCACTATCGTGGTCACAAGCTGTCCATGTGGTTGAACCTCATCCCTCAGCTGCATCGCCACTTTAACATCAACGACCAGTCCATGCGACATCATCAGTTCCAGGACGATATGAACAATAGGGATCTCTATGAGGGTAAGTTTAATAAATATACGCTCTTTTATGTTCTTAAATATTATTATTTTTATTTTTTTCCAGGCGTTGTCCGTCCACAGTTGCAGACAAAGCCCGCGGAAGATGATAACATCATCATCATGCAGAGAAGCAGGACAACGACGACGCCGCCACCATCACCACCTCCTCCGCCAAAGAGTCCAAGTACAAATGCCACACAAGCCTTGAATCCCAGTGGCACGGGAGCAACCACAACGACAGGTGAGTTGAGTATAAGAATTAGCCAAATATATCCCGTATTTACTTCTCAACGAATCCTTGCAGAGTGCGGCATCGATGGAGCCATGTCCGTGTCGGAACTAACCACCACCCAATCGCCGAAGGACAATAGAACCGGAGTAACACGCGTGGAGACGCAAAAGGATCTGGCCACCGCATCTACAGGAATAATAGGCAACCTGGAGCTCCTGCGGCGACTGGGTGGCAAACAATTCCAGAGCTACACGACTGCCCTGATAGCCACGGTGGCCGTGGGCTGTTTCCTGCTCATCCTCAATGTCCTGATCTTCGCGGGCATTTATCATCAGCGCGAGAAGCGGGCGCGGGATGCCAAGACCAAGGAGGAGCTGCAGGAGAGCGATAACAGCAAGAACTCCAGCATGCTGAAGCTCAACGCTTTGATGGGCGGCAGCGGAGGAGCAGGTGGTGCGGGTCCAGGAGATATCTCAGATGCCTATACCTTGAGTGGTTCGGTGGTGGACAGCAAGGGCGGGGTGGGCGTGGTGTTTGGGGAGTACAGCTGCTACGATGAGAAGACCAAGCAGTTGAAGGAGGAGAAGCTGCTCGTGGAGCTGCCGCCGTCATCGTCAACAGGTCAAACTTCCCTCATGATGGACACCTGGGGCCCCTGCTCCACCAGCACTCTGGATCTGCTGAAGACCAAGCCGGGCGATCCCATCGAAATGGTCACCTACAGCGGCGCCCTGCCCACGCTGATGGAATCCACTTCGGCGATGAGCAGCAAGCGGGGATCCTTTGTGGACACCACGCTGCAGTTTACTAGCAGTCCACAGCAATTCGACTATGCAGTCCAGTCCTCGGATCAGATGTCCTTCAAGGCGATAGAGGAGGCTGTCAAGGCGGCGGCGGCGGGGAATGACTCGGAAATCACCCGGGATGATGACATTCCCGAGCCGCCGCCACCACCGCGATCCTTCCTAGCCGCCCAACAGCAGCAGCAGCAGCAACAGCAAACGGGAATCCTGCGGCAGACGGGGCCAGGCGGAAGTTCCACGACAGGATCGGGAAGCAGCAGCGGCAAGAAACGTGTACATATTCAGGAAATCTCAGTCTAGCAATCATAACCCGTCAAGTAACCAATTGTGAGCCTAGTTTAAAGTTTTTATCTAGTTATTTCTGTGGCCGAACTTGTCTAAATTGAACTTTTCCTACTTCTCAGTGGAAGTTTCTGACTTCTTCGAATAAGAAATTCTCTGTAACTTCATTTCCTACATATATTTTCTTTTAATAACTGATCCTTGTTTACTTCTCTATTCCCATTCACTGCCCTCAATTTCTGCCATAGTAATATTAAAAATAGAATCATTTCTTGTGTTCCCTTACCTCAATGCTAAAAATCGTTGTAACTGTATGTATTACGTATGTTTGTACATTATGTAAATGTTCCTTGTAGACGTGATTGAGATGATATTGTGTAGGAATAATTTGTCAAGTGTTATCATTGTGTGTATAGTTTATGTTACTTTTTGGTGTACGATTAGAATCTCATATATTATTCTATTTGCTTGTTATTTAATAATTAGCGAAATCAAAATAATATAAAACAAGCTTTTAATGATTTGTAAAAGAAAACCAGATATTATAACTATAATACACATATTGTATTTAATGTATTGTAAAATATTGACTCTATTTGTATGAAATACATATGTATTACAAAGTATTCATATTCACATTTTAAAACATGTCTTCAATTAATCGTTGCCAAATATTCGAAATGAAATCCTACAATCAAAGGTAAGTTAATTGAGCTAATGAATCGTACGAAAGGCCTTTTTAATTCATTATTTATTTATTTATTTACTTGAATTCCTAGTACTAGTCACTAAACGTGAAGAATTTTAATAATAATAACAACCCGGCCATCTAGATGTCGTAATTGTACGACATTATATAATTATTAATTTGTACTGTACATAGATGTTAGAAACGAAAGATTTTAAATCTATATTGGCTCGCTTTTTATTTCTTTTTTCACTTTTTTCATCTTTACCGTGTCACCATTTTCTCCATTCTTGCGTTTTGTTTTTGATTTCTTAGTTGGCGTAAAATCGGGTTCTTTCTTAATTTCTTCTAAAAGGGCATCTAACATTTCATCGGGGTCCTCTTCCTTAACCAATATAGCCTCCGGTTCGGGACTGGCAAACTTTGTGGATTGATTCTGTGTTGAAGAAAAATATTTTAGACATTTTTTAAACATTTCAAAAAAGTTTGATATGATCTAAATCTGGCTATGATTTGTTTTCTTACAAAAATCTGATCTAAAGTACAGTAAAGTTTTTAATCTGGATAATAAATTAATCAATATATTAATTATTCAAATCTGGATATTTAAATCAGCAAACCAATGACTCCTGAACCACTTAATAATCTAGAATATTGCGTTTATGTAGTATTCAAATCTGGATATTTGAATCAGCAGAGGAGGCATTCAAATCTGCATATTTAAATCAGCAGACCAATGATTCCTGAACCACTTAAGAATTTGTAGTAACCCACCTTTGGCTCCTTGCCATTCTCAAACAGAAGTTCACCCTCGATGCATGGCACCACATTGCCGATATCGAAGCTCTTTATGCTGAACTTGATCTCCTGGTCCATGGCGAAGTCATCGCGGCTCTGTTCCTTGTTGGTGAAGCGGATGTTGGTGTTGAAGACCCGGTAGATGACGGCGTTGATGTGGTACTTGGATATGTGCTGCACCACGCCGTTCAGTACGGCGCCCACTTCGGGACGGAAGACGTAGAAGTCCGCGTGAATGACCAGGTGCATGGTGGGATCATCCGCCCGCAGTCCGGCTGTTTGTCCCAGCACTTTGATGTTCTTGATGCCCAGCACAATCCCGTCGAGACTGGCATCGTAGAATCCCACCTTGGTGCGGATGAGCAGCTCGTGGAGAGCGTGCTTGAAGCTGGCCATGCCGTACGGACCCATTGCCAGGTGCATCTCCTTGGAGATGCATCGCACACAGGACCCCGGGGTGCTGGCGTACTTCTCCAGCTCCTTGGCCGAGAACTTTATGTATTTCTGCAGTATCTTGGCCATCCTAGGATCTTAAAACTGCCTCTTCGAATCGACCACATGAGTTACATTTGAAGGTCTGGCAACCTCGCAGGTGGGACTAGAGGTGCTGGCTTGGCGTTTTCCCGTCAAATCTGGCTGCCTTTTCGGGAGTATTTAAAAAAGGCTATAATTGTATTTAACTCGTTATTTTAAACAACAACTTTTTAAGAAATATTGGTTAATAGTCTAGAAGTAACAAAAAAATTAACAGATAGAAGGTACAAAAATAAAATTGATAAAGTTCCTGTTAAAAAATTTCATATTTTGTTTTAAAATAAGTTTAAAATGCAACAATTCCAATTCCATAAATAATTTATTTATAATAATAATTTGTAATTCATCTTTATAGCCGTATAGCATATTTCATAGGCAGACATTTTAATATTTTAAATTTTTCAGTATTTTTGTTGGTATATTTTCCATTTATGGTCCTACTAACTGAAGCATGCCTTTTTTATTGTACTCGAGGAAAAGCGAAGAAAACCAGAGTTTGACTGAAACTAGAGACTAAATAGAGTTTAAAGCGACGTTAAAATGGGAGTTCCAGCATTCTTTCGCTGGCTGAGCCGGAAGTACCCGAGCGTGATCATCGAGTGCAACGAGAACAAGCAGGTGGACCCGGACACCGGGCGCAATATCTACGAGGATGCGACGCAGCCGAATCCGAATGGGATAGAGTTCGACAACCTCTATCTGGACATGAACGGCATCATTCATCCTTGCACGCATCCGGAGGACAAGCCGGCGCCGAAGAACGAGGACGAGATGATGGTGGCCATTTTCGACTGCATCGATCGACTCTTCGGCATCGTGCGTCCCCGCAAGCTGCTCTACATGGCCATCGATGGGGTGGCGCCGCGTGCGAAGATGAATCAGCAGCGGTCGCGTCGCTTCCGGGCGGCCAAGGAGACTACGGAGAAGCGGCTGGAGATCGAGCGCATCCGCGAGGAGCTGCTCAGTCGCGGCTGCAAGCTGCCGCCGGAGAAGGAGAAGGGCGAGCACTTCGACTCCAACTGCATCACGCCGGGCACACCGTTCATGGACCGGCTGAGCAAGTGCCTGCACTACTACGTCCACGATCGGCTCAACAACAATCCGGCCTGGAAGGGCATCAAGGTCATCCTGTCCGATGCCAATGTGCCCGGCGAGGGCGAGCACAAGATCATGGACTATATACGCAAGCAGCGCGCCCAGCCGGATCATGATCCCAACACGCAGCACGTCCTGTGCGGCGCCGATGCCGATTTGATCATGTTGGGCCTGGCCACCCACGAGCCCAACTTCACCATCATTCGCGAGGAGTTTCTGCCGAATAAGCCGCGTCCCTGCGACATTTGCAATGGTTTTGGCCACGAGATGGACAAGTGCGTCGGCCTGGGGGCCACTGCGCCCACAGGCGCCAACTTCAAGCCAGATGTTCCCATCGGAGCGGAGGTAAAGTTCATCTTCGTGCGGCTGAGCGTGCTGCGGGAGTACCTGAAGCAGACGCTGGAGATGCCCAGCCTGCCGTTCGAGTACAGCTTCGAGCGCGCCTTGGACGACTGGGTGTTCATGTGCTTCTTTGTGGGCAACGACTTTCTGCCCCATCTGCCCAGCCTGGAGATTCGCGAGGGTGCAGTGGATCGGCTCGTGGAGCTGTACAAGAAGTGCGTCTACAAGACGAAGGGCTATCTCACCGATTCGGGCGATGTTAATCTGGACAGGGTGCAACTGATAATGACCGATTTGGGCAATGCCGAGGACCAGATCTTCAAGAGCCGCCAGCGGCGAGAGCAACAGTTCAAGGCGAGGGACAAGGCGCGCAAGAGGCAGGAGCGGAATCAGGATCACAGGTCCCTGGATCAGTCTGCATTCGGAGCGAGTGCCGTGGGACCGAATAGCCAGCAAAAGAGCATTGGCAACTACAAGGAGGAGGCGGCTGCTTTAAGGAATAGAAAGCGCACCAGTGACCAGGCCAATTTGGATGACGAGGAGGAGGAGGAGGAGGACAACGACGAGGTGCGTTTGTGGGAGGATGGCTTCAAGGATCGCTACTACGAGTCCAAGTTCGATGTGGCGCCGGGAAATCAGCAATTCCGCTACGCCGTCGCTTTGCAATATGTTCGCGGATTGTGCTGGGTGCTGAAGTACTACTACCAGGGCTGCGCCTCCTGGAACTGGTACTTCCCCTATCATTATGCTCCATTCGCTTCCGATTTTGTTAACATTCAGGGCCTGTCCACAATGTTCGAGAAGGGCACCAAGCCCTTCAATCCGCTGGAGCAACTGATGGGTGTCTTTCCGGCCGCCAGTAGCTCCCATGTCCCCGAACCCTGGGCTGATCTTATGGCCAACCCGGAGTCGCCGATCATTGACTTTTACCCAGAGGACTTCAAGATCGATCTGAATGGCAAGAAGTTCGCCTGGCAGGGAGTCGCTTTGCTGCCCTTCGTGGACGAGAAGCGGCTCTTCAAGGCCCTGGTTCCCTACTATGAACAGCTGACGGGCGAGGAGGTGAAGCGCAACAAGCGGGGCGACAATTACCTGTACATCAGCAACCAGAGTCCGCACTTCAAGAAGGTCAAGAAGATAAGCGATAAGTCGGAGGAGAACGAATGCAATGCCGTCTCCTTTGACGGAATGCGCGGCACGTTGGGAAAAACCGAGCTAAACACTGCCATCAGTGGAATCCTCAGGTCGCCGATCTCGGGACTGTCGGACATTAATGACAACACGACTGTGACGACCACTTTTAAGGATCCCGAGTACGATGATGACTACATATTCGAGGCAAAGCGGCTGGAAAATGCCGTCGATCCGCCGCAGGTGCTGCCCAATGAGCAGCAGGGTCAGAAGCATCGTCCCGTCATCGGATTCAATAGCCATTTGACCAGGGCCTACGTTCCGGATAGTGGACATCGCATGCTAAACGCGGGAATTAGAAACGCTGGTGGCGGCGGAGGAGGCGGAGGAGGTTATGGCCAAGGAGGAGGTGGCTACAACCAGGGAGGAGGACAGGGCTATCAGAACAATAGCCGCAACTATAACTACAACTACAATAATAACTACAATCAGCATCAGGGTGGCGGAGGCGGCGGCGGCGGTGGCTATCAAGGCAACTACAATAACCGCCAGCAATATGGCCACAATCAGAGATACAACCAGGATAATTCCAATCAGCAGCGCAACTATAACAACTACAATGGTCCAAGGAATAACAACTACCAGCAACAGGGCGGCGGCAACAGGCAACAGAATCAGAATTATAGAAGATTTTAGGTGTACAATACATGCATTTTAGTATGTAGCCGATCTTAAAAGTATAATCCAATTTCATTTTTTACAAAGTACTTTAATAAAAAAGAAAATAGTGTTTAAGGGTTGTCAGACAAACTGATGCCAAAGCATTTTCTCAATCAATAGCGAGTTCTTCTTAGAAACGACTAATTTAGTAAAGCTGCAATCGTTTTTATTTTCTTCATTTTTCAAACATCTAGTCTCAGTGCCTCAATGAAAATAAGTCAAATTACAATATTTAAAGAATGTCCCAATGACTGCGTGAGAAAAACGATTACAAAATAACAAATAAAAAAGTATAGATATTGTTATACTATATTCAACGATTGCATTACATAATACCCATCAATTTCAACATACAAAAAATAAAAAGTAATTGAAAAAAAGTTTAATATTTTTCAAATTTAGTTGGTACAAATATTTTACATATCACTGAACCAACAAATTTCAATCATAATTTATAGGGCTTCCCAATTTTTTTCCATCATTCTTTAAACCCCGAGTCATTCAACAAAAGACACAGCGGAATTATGGAATAGCATTCGCTATATTTAACGAATGGAATGTTATTATTTCGATTTCCATGTAACATAATAAATATTTAAATTTCGAAAACAATACTCATTACAGCTAAGTGATAATCTTAAAATTTACGGGGGCCTTGTTTCTTAAAAACGATCGTGCTTTCTCTACAAAGAAAAGTTCACTGAGCTTGAAAAATATATATATTATATTACGAATGCTTCTTAATCCACGAGCTTGGAAAAACACACGTGGTGCCTGAGGTTGGGGGTTTGGGATCGATCTAGTGAAGCGGATACTAAAAAATACATATCGATTATATGAATACGCTTAGAAGGTAACACAATGTGAGCTTAGTTCACGTTCGATTCGGAAGAGTTTGGCTATCGGTTCGGTGCGAGGTGTGCGAGCTTATCAGATATTGGTGATAATGTTCTTGTTGCGATCGGATATGCCATCGAACTTGCCATGGCTGGAGAACGGCGTGCGCATGCGTCGCGTGAAGGAACGGAGGCATCGCTGCCCATCCAGACTATCTGGATTGTTGGTCACCGCAAGGAGGTTGACTAAAAGAATGGGACACAAAACATAAATGGTTAGAATGTGATATAATCATTTAAAACATAATTCTTTATTGTATTATTCATTACCTCTTTGCTCGAGCAACTTAATCTGTTTTTTGGCCTCTCTCAGCTTGTTCATTAGTATCTCGTTCTTCCGCTTCTCGACGGTCAGCTCCAGGCCGAGCTGCAGCTTGCTCTTGGAGTCAACGGCACTCAAAATTCTGCAAAGTAGTTCAGAATGCAAATGGATTAAAGGAAATTATAAGATTAAAAATAAAAATTCAATTTTTTTATTACTTAAATTGGTAGAATAACACTTTACAAATCTGTCATGAAAGTTTCACGAAGAAATTCGACCTATTTTAAAATTTATACCAGGATGACGGCACCCACCTTTCTTATGAAGTAGATATATTTCATTACTATTAATACCATTTTCCCTAAACCACGTTTTCCTCAGCTGCGGATGGTGTATCTCAAAAAGTAATGTCTCGATCATCATGCTGCTTTTACAGAAATGTTTGTAATAAAATTGCCCACTGTCTGAACCTACTTAATGTAGAAATTTGTACGTTTAAGTATTTTTTGTTAGCCAAAAACAACAAAAAAATTATGAAAATAATAGATTTTTGACTTTGTAATAGTGCCACAACTATAGTTTTTGAGATATTCTATGTAAGTTAGGTTCAGACAGTTTCTACATTATTTCTTGACAAAATAAACTTGGTTTCATAAAAATCGGATCTACACAGCGACCTGTGGACGATCCGCAGCTGGCAATTTGAAAGATAAAAACAAAATAAAAATCGGTTAGAATTATATAAGAACAATGTAATCAACATGCCAAGTTACGAAATCCCAGCGCAACTCCTTATTGGTTAAAAAAAACCACGAAAAACTTGAAAAAAAATAGAGTTTTATATGTAACTTCCCCCTTAAGATTTTATCAACTTACGGATGGCTGAATATGGACTGGGATGTGGGCCTCTTGTCGGGATCTGGGTGCATCATCTGGGCTATCAGTTCGTTAAAATCTCTGCTCAGGCTGGGCAGGATCGGCACACTGCCATTTCGCAAATTGTGCCATTCGGGTCCATTTTTGGGCAGCGGGCCACCGCCCGCCACCTCGAACAACGTGATGCCCAGCGAGAAGATGTCGGCCTTGAAGAGATTCGAATAGTCCTCCTGCAGGATCTCTTTCGAAAGATAGCGGCAGTCCCCCTCCTCGACATGGGGCTCCTTAACGGACGTCACATGACCCAGGTCGCCGATCTTGTACGTGACCAGGTTCTCCGAGTGGCGCAGCTCCTCGTAGACGCTGTCCATGCCATCGTCGTCTTTCATCTGCTGCGGCTGCACCTCCACGAGCTTATGTGCATTCGGATTCATCGTGGAGAATATATTCTCCGGCTTCAGATCCATGTGCACCAGGTCATTGGAGTGGATGTAGCGCAGGCCCTCGATCACATGCATGAGCACAATCTTCAGCTCTGCCTCGCCCAGGAAATGATCCTGGATGCGAGCATGCAGGCTGCCACCGTCGCAGAACTCGTTCTGTATCAGCATGTGATCGTCCTCCGCCCAGGCGGAGTAGTATCTAACCACGTTATCGTGCTTGCCGAGGACAGCATGGGCCCAGACCTCATTTAGGGCTCTCTTTCTGCAAGGAAAGGGTTAAATAAATATGATCTTTAGTAACTGATATAAAACTTACTCGAAGGAGCTGCCTGCCACCGGCTTCTTGCTCTTCTTGATGGCATAGATGCAGCCATCCAGTCGATTGACGCACTGGAACACCACACCGAACTCGCCCACGCCGATCACGTTCACCTGCATGAACTCGCGCTTGAAGCGACTGATGTTCGTGTCGTGCAGGGCCAGCCGCTTGGGCGCCTGCTGGTGGATCTCGCGCAGTGAGTCGCCCGCCTCCTCCGCCGCATCCTCGTCGCAGGCCTCGCTGAGCAAATACTTTTGCATAGCATTCACATTCAGGTTGAGATTCTCGCGACCGAATTGCGTGCGGCAGCGCTTCTTATTGTGAGCCAGGAGGCCTGGAAAATAAAATTAAATTATTAGTTTACTAGTGAGCTTAGGTTTTTAACTTTAAACATTTCTAAAAATTATTATTTTAAAAAAATTTTAGTTTAAACTATTTTTGAAGAGTGAAGGATTGAATGATTAACTAAATAGTTATGGCAAATGCAATGATGTACAAGAAACTCCTTTAAGAATTAGCTTGGGATTAGAATAGGTTTTTAGTTCTTAACTTTAAACATTTTTATAAATTATTATTTATCAAATAAAAACACCTCTTAACGAGGTAAAAAACTAGTGACGAACGCACCTTCAACATACAAAAGTTCTGATATCAACATTTGTGACGAAAAATTATTACACTCGTCATTAAATAGACTTTCTAATATTTTCTCATTCGGCCCGCCCTAGCAAACTATTCCAGCCTTTTTCCCTTCACAGGCATTTTCTATTGCAGCGTGCCGAATGAGAAAATATTAGAAAGTCTATTTAATGACGAGTGTAATAATTTTTCGTCACAAATGTTGATATCAGAACTTTTGTATGTTGAAGGTGCGTTCGTCACTAGTTTTTTACCTCGTTAAGAGGTGTTTTTATTTGATATCAGAAGTTTTTGTTTGTTTACTTTTGCTCTCATAGGTGCTAATATAAACATTTAAATTTAAATTGGTCATAAATCATAATTTTTAAACTATTGTATTTTAACGAATTCAGTTAAAAAGGCGTTGAAGTATTTCAAAATACCTTTTAAACGAGGTATAGCACATGTCTGTACCTTTAGTAGTGTAGAACTTACAAACTAACGAAATGTAGCTATTTTTAGCTTTTTCCCGCTAAAGTAGCGGCTTTTTCCAAAAGTCGTAGAACAAAAGATTCCTATATGGAACTCTTAAGTGCAAATTTACTGATTCCATGACCCTAAAATACAGTTCGGATACCCTCACACAAATTTCAATACTCAGGGAGCGTTAGTAGTTCGAGCTTGCAAAAGTGGCTATTTTCGTATAAAAATAACTTTTAAACGTGACTTTTTACAGTAATGTGTTATATACCAAAATTTAAGGAATCTCAAGGGCTATACAGTTTAAAGTTTTAAAGAAAATCGTTAGAGCCGTTTTTGAAAAAAATAAAAAAAAGCTAAAAAAAAGTTTTAAAAAATTGTCTTTTGTTCATATTTTTTTAACTATTACATTTACACAAGTTGCATATAAATGGCGTTTATAGCATTTCAAAATACCTTTCAAACGAGATGCAGCACAAGTCTGTAGCTTTAGTAGTATAGAAGTTACGGCTTTCCGAATTTTAGCTACTTATAGCTGTTTTCCCGCTAAACTAGCGAGTTTTTCCAAAAGTGGTAGAACAAAAGTTTTTTATATCGATGTGATGAACGTCATATCAAATTTTCAAAACTTAGAAAACATGTTTTGGACAAACTGACAAACTGACAAACTGACAAACTGACAAACTGACAAACAGAATTAAATTTTCATTTTGGGAAGACGAAGAAAATCTTATTTTGGCTATAACTTTTGAACGGAGCGTCGGATTTTGACAAATGACCCCTCATTCGACGGGTATTTTCAAAAGGAATACAACTAAAACATTGAGAGGGGGCAATTATCCCCACCGGCCCCAACAGCTCCAAATTTCGAAATATTCACTTTTTTACTTTCACCGCTCTCTCTCCCAAGCCAATTAATTTTCTTAGAGTCTTGGTATGCAATCCTGTTAGTTTTCGCAATACCTTTCGATAGGTGTATCATTCATTATGATCGGACCATCACAGTAGATTTTCATTTCTTCGTGTATATATAGTAGTCGCCTTCGCACACCCTCCTGGTGCGCTTCGTCACTACATGGACTGCCGTCCATAGTGATACAAATTATTAATTTAAACTTTTTGTGCCAGGAGGGCTAGAAAATTATGCATTAGGTTACTGATAAGATTAAGTTTTTAGTTTTTAGCTTTATACAGTTACACACAATTATTATTTATAAAAATTCTTAATTTTAAATATTTGTGCCAGGAAGTCTAGAAAATAAAATAAAATTACCTATTAGGTTACTAGTAAGATAAGGTTTTTAGTTCTCAACTTTAATAATTTTAATAATTTACTATTTATAAAAATTCTTCATTTTAACTACTTGTGAAGAGTGAAGGATTGAATGTTAAACTAAATGGTAATGGCAAGTGCAATGATATATTCCTAAATTATCATAAATTTAAATTATTATTTATAAAAATTCTTTATTTTAACTATTTGTGGAAAGTGAAGAATTGAATGTTTAACTAAATAATAAAGGCAATTGCAATGATATACAAGAAACTCCTTTAAGGATTAGCTTTGGAAAATAACTAATATATTGGTGGAATAGTTCCTCAGAGAAACCCTTTTATATCATGACATTAGAGAATAAAAGAATCGCCCAATGAACTGGGAACTCAAACTTACTATCAGGCGTAAAGGGATTCACGTTGGCCGTGTCCTGGGCGGGCAGTTTGCGGTTGTGCAGGGGCAGGGATCGCGGACGCTCGCGGAAGAGCTCCTCGCTGCGACGGGTGGCGTTGACTGCCGCTGCAGCGGCCGATAGATGGTTGCTGCACTGCGTCGTCGACTTCTGCAGGATGGTCTTCGGGGTGGCCGGGGTGCTGAAGAGGCGCAGGGCGCGCACCTTCTGGCAGGGTGGCGACATGGACACGTCCCCGTCGCCGACGCCGTCCTTATCCTTGCTGCCCGGCTGCTGCCGTTCCTCGCCGGTGGATAGCTTCAGCCGCTGCTGGAGGGGATGCCGCGGACTCGCTCCTTCGGGCGGGTCCTTGTCAAAGTCGTCGTCGGCGAAGCGCAGCTTGCGCGGATTGAAGAGCTGCGGCGACGGGGAACGCGATCGCAGCTCGACGCTCGAATCGAGCGAGGTGACGCTCATCTCATGCTCCGACTGGCGGAAGGCCATTGTAGCTGCTCAGCTGCCCGCGGTGCAAGGCGATTCACTTTTCCGGATATTTCACAACTATTTGTAACGAAGCGGTGGGCAGAAAGTCGAAGGCGTTGGGTAAAAAAAGGCAAAACAAAACACAAAACAAAATTGAACTGCTGGAATGCGAAGGAGAATAGTGTGGCGTATCCGAAGCGCCAGAAAATACCACAGCGAAAAATGAAAAAATACTAAATACAGCGTTGCCAGACCAGACTAGTTTTGTAATTTGTGAAGGAACAATCGCAAGCCCTGCGTAAAAAATGAATCAAAACAGAAACTTGATTTTGTTTTAGATTGGTTTATAGAATTTAACCGTTTTTATTATATCAGCGACTAAAAAACTAAAAAAAAACCTTAAATTAGTGTGGCCAAAGCAAGTACACAATAAATATACCAACTAGGGACAGAATACAAAAATATACCACTGCGGCGTTGCCAGACTGATATCCCTGTCCGCCCAATTCAAACCAAAGAACACGTTTTTTTGGCATTTAATTTATTGATTGAATATTTGTGTATTTTAGTGTTCAGCGCATTTGCTATATAATTCAAACACACATCTCAAGAATCCATACATATGTATTTGTTTAATACTTAACTACGACATCAATGTATGAATAATTATTATGCACTGTTGCAAGACTTAATTATTACGAATATTGAAACACATCATACAGAGTTTTGGAGTCGAATAATCAAGTGTATTGAGTAGTATAATTTGAAAAATGTGTAGAATTGACATGAAAATGGTGGCGATGCTTCGTCTCCTGCACATTCGAGTATAATTCCAGGGTTAGCAAAAAGTAAAATCCAAGGCAAATCAATTTTTTACATAGCAAACTTGACTAGATCGATAATCTGCGGCTGCCGATCCATTTCTATATCTTTATATTTATCTTTCTTTCCGTCAAATGATTTTTCGAAGCGCTCTTCTTTGTTCTGCATGTGCATGTTGTTGTTGTTTCTCTGATTCTGCTGTTTCTGTTGTTTTTGGAACATAAGAATACCTAAATATGCAAACTCGAGTTCCACTATAAATTAAAACCCTTAACTAATATGGTTCTGGACAACTAAACCGTAGATAGATACTGCATGAAAAAGTATTTGGGAATCTGTCTTGTTACATGTGAGGTTGTTTTTTTATGTTTTCTTTTCTTTTGTTTCGTTTTGTTTGTTGGGAATGAGGGGAAGATTCCAGATTCCGGATTCATCGGGGATTCAGGGGCTGCAGTTCAGGCCCTCATCTTCACGCGCCGGGCTTTGTCTGCATCCGTTCGGTGTCGCTAGTCCCTGGACACGGATCGTGAGGCGGACGAGTCGCCGCGACGCCTGGGCGGCGATCCACGGCGCACCGCCGGCGACGCCGATCGAGATCGGGAACGGGAACGTGATCGCGGCGATGCCCTGGCCCGGTCCTCGTCCTCATCCTCGTAGCGCCGCTTCGGAGGCGGCGGCGAGTCTACCGCTCCGCTGCCGTTGCGCTCGTGGTCGCTGTACCGCGACGCCGATCCGTTCTCGTCCCGTCCGTTCGAGCGGCCCGAGCGACGGCCCACCGAACCGGCGGAGCGACTGCGGGATCGGGTGCCGGACTTGGAGCGAGTGCGCCGGCGACGGGATGTGCTGCGAGATCTGCTGAACGAGTTGCTTCTGGAAGAGGGGAAAATGGAGAAAGATTTTTATTAGCAATAGGTTTTTAAAATTGAATTTTAGTGTATAAAAACTTATGGTTATATCTCTTTGAAGAAATAGATCGCGAAATCCAAGGTTTTAGTTTAAATGAGCTTCTTTAATTCTTTATTCTGGGTTTTGATACGGGTCGTACTTCATTCACCTTAAAAACTGATAAATTCCCTCTAATCCATTGGAGTTCATATTTTAAAGAGGATATTAAAATAAAAAATATTTAAAATTTATGATATTATACATAATTTGCCCCTAGCAATTAGTAATATTCTTGGTTTTGATAAGGGTCCTTAAAAACTGAACAATTCGCTCATATTTTGCATAGCGGATTTCCCTTTTCTTTAAGAAAAATAGAAAAAACACGAATCGAATATAAATACAACCTTTCCCTGTTTTAATGCCACATTTCTTATAAACATCATGTTATAAGCAATGTGTATTATATTTAGTTTGACCCAAAAAATTTGTATTTTTCTTGGTTCTGATAAGGGTCAAGTTTATTCACTTTAAAAACTGAAACATTCCCGCCAAACCACTAGGATACACATTTTTAAATGGGAGTTTCCCTTTGATTTTAAGAAAAATAGAAAAACACGAACCGAATATAGTTACAACCTTGCCCTGTTTTAATGCCACATTTCTTATAAACATCACATTTATCTTAAGCCTTTTAAAGACCCTTCTGCTCAATGCTTGCCGCCCTTCTTTTTGTAGTGTTTGTGGCCGTGCTTCTTGGAGCCCTTCTCGCCGTGCTCCTTCTTCTCCTCGTAGCTGTCGCCGTGCTTGTGCTCCTTCTTGTACTTCTTGTGGTCCTCGTCGTGGTGGCCCTTCTTGTAGGTCCCATGATGCTTCTTGTGGCCCTTCTTCTTGCCGCCCTCATGCTTCTCGCCCTTCTTGTGCTCGCCATGCTCCTCGGCATGATGATGGTGCTCCTTTCCGTACTTCTTGTGATGTCCGCCCTTGTGCTCGTCATCGTAGAACTTCTTCTCCTTCTTGTACTCATCCTTCATGAACTTCTTGTGGTATTCGAGTTCTTTGTGACCCTTCTTGTGCTTCTTTTTGTGATGATGCTTGCCGCCCTTCTTGTGCGAGCCATGCTCATGCTTTTCCCCATGCTCGTCCTTCTCATCGTAGTGCTTCTTCTTCTTCGATCCCTTGTCGCCGTGATGGTGCTCGTGATCCTCCAGCTCGTGGTGCTTCTTCTCGTCCTCCTCCCACTCCTTGTGCTCCTTGTGGCCGTGCTCGCCCTTGTGCTCCTCGTCACCGAACTTCTTCTTCTCGTACTTTTCGCCACCCTCCTCCTCCTCGGATGACGATGACTCCTTCTTCTTGGCCGCCGCATAGGTCAGCAGGAGTCCAAGGACCAGCAGCAGCTTCAGATGACCATGCATCTCGCATCGTTTTCTCGTTCGACTGGCACCATTGGCGTTTGCTTTTATATAGCACGCCGTGGACCACAAAATGCCTGGGCGTCATGATGCAAGCAAACCTCTGGAGCTGACGTAAAAGCTTTCTGCTTCATTGGCCTCTTCACCGCAGCTAATCGAACTTCTTGTCTCGCCGAGAGTGACAGATTGGCCTCCAAAGTTGGTAGTTGCTTCTAGGAGATGTTGAAAGGCTTTGCAAACTGAATGTTTAAGAACTTTTGTTATTTCCTCACAAAGGTTGCAAAAAAAGGCTATTTATTCATTAAATCGATTTAATATTTGGTTATAATAAAGTGCCTAATTAAACCTGGATAAAATCCATTAATTCCTCTTATAATTTGCCTAAATTTATTTGATTTTCAAATCGAAAAACATGATAAGAACTGAATTTAAATTTATGTTGCGCAACATACAGAAATTAATGGGAATAAAAATATCAATAAATTCCATTTAAGGTATTTTACATTTAATTTATAATTCTGGTTTACTTTTTCAAAAGCATTATAAATGTGGCATTTTAAATTGCATAATAAATTTAATATTTTATGCACTCGGCTCTAGAAAACTACTAAATGTCCCAAAATCAATACTCGAAAATTCAAATTTTTTTTGCAAATATTACATTTTATTTCTAATGTACAACAGAAACTTTAATCTTGTTGATAATTGTAAAATCCTATACTTTACAGTAAGGTAACCTAGGAAGCTAAGACTTAAGGGCTACAACTAGTCAAGGTGGTGGGGAAACTAATCCTGGTGCTTTGACTTTTTCTTTTTCTTCGATGGCGTTGGCTCGTCCTCGGGCTCAGGCGCCGCCGCCGCCTCCTCTGCGGCCTCCTCGTCCTTCTGCTTCTTCTTCTTTTTCTTCTTCTTCTCGGACTTGACCTCCTCCTCGGCGGCCACCTCCTCCTCCTCCTTAATCTCCTTCTTCACGGGCGTCTGCTCGGTTTCGGAGTGCTTGCGTTTCTTCACGTTCAAGGTGTTGTCGGCTTCTGGTTGGTAGGTGAATACCTCACTGAAAAATCAAGGAATACATTAATAAACAGTACAAACTAGCAATAGATTTAGTGGTAAACACAATTTCGCTCAGACAGCCAAGGTTTATCGTCATCGTAATCGGATAAATGCGAAACCTTTTGGGTATCATCACTGGAAATCGGTCTTACGCTTATATAATTGTATACTAAAAACCCACCTCTTGGCCTGGTACTTCTCGAACTTGGCCTTGGCCTTGCCGGTGCCCGAGAGTTTGCGCAGGTTACCCTCCTCCAGCAGCCGCAGCCGCGATTCCAGCTTCACCTTGTGCGCGGCGCCCAGCTCGAAGGTGGCCTCCTCACCGAAGGCATCGACTCGCGTGGCCAGCGACGCCTTGGCGGCCAGCGAACGCGACATCTTGCCCTTGTTCTTCTGGCTGGCCTGTCCCACCAACTGGGCGTGGTAGATCAAACCATACTTTGGCGTATCCTTCTTGGTCTTCAGCGCCCGGAAGAGGGCCTTTTCGGCGCCCAGGATTTGCACGGTGGACGAGGGATGCTTGGCCAAATTGATCAGCGAACCGGCATGGGCAATCAGTCGAGCGCCCACTGTATCGCCGACGAGCACAGTCAAATTGGGAGCCATGGCCATCATGCGGGCCTTCAGATAGTCATACAAATGGATGCGATAATCGTTGATCGAGATAATCTCGTCGCACAGGCACTGAATGTTCAGAACGTCCTCCTCGGAGATTTCGGTGCCCATCGAGATTTCGGCCGCCTCCTTGACCTTCTCCTCCACATCTTCGGGCAGAATATCGGACAGATCGCTCGCAGCCATGTTGTCCCTGGTGCCCACCAACTTGATGGTCTTCACAAAGGCAATATTATCGGTGATGATCTTGCCCAGCTCGGGAAAGTGCCAGCCGTACCACTCGCGGGCACGCATCATATAGTTGTTCAGCTCCTTGTCCAGATCATCCAGCAGACACTGGGCCTGCACAATCATGGTGTCAATCTTATCCGGCGAGAACTTGAGCTTGTAGCGCGACAAGGAGTGGGCGAGACCCAGGGCCATGGCGGTCATCTCGCGCTTGGGCAGGCCGCCGAGCAGACTGTCCGCCTGCTGGCGGATGCAGCGCATCAGCTCCTGGACGCCGGTGTTGTAGACGCACTGCACCGACAGCTTGTCCTTGATGGCGGTGCCCAGTTTGGCATCGGCGACGAGGAGCGACGATTGCACATCGTCGACGAGCAGCTTTTTGAGGGTTTTCTTGAGCGGCTTGGCCACCTTACCCTCCACCGCCGCCGTTGCAGCGGCCAGCGCCTCTGTGGTGTCGTTGAATTTCTCAAAGTGCTTCAGCTTCAGCAGCTTGTTGGCCTTCTCGGGTGTCTCGAACTCCAGGTACAGATTGTCCACCTGCTCCAGCTTCTTCTCGTCCAGCAGCTTGAAAATCGCGTAGCCCGCCGGCGTTTCGTAGAGCACAAACATCGCGCTACACTCTGCTCATTTAGTTTTGATTTTAATTCAATTTAAAACGAGTGAAACACTCGGCAGCCAGCAGCAACTTAACCTTCTTTGCCGTATGCCGCGTGTAAAAGAAAAATCCAAAATGAACGCAAGCACGTGTGCCTTCGCTGGACGGCGTTGCCACTCCGTTCGCGCTTAACAGTGGTGCTGTAGCGTATTCACCACGAACATTGGAGCGCGGGGAATTTTAAAGGGTTGCCAGATTACCGACTGGCTGATACCCTTTAAACGTTTTTATACGTAGTAAAATCCATCGGTGAATTTATTTCTTTGCACTATATCACTAAATTAATAGTATCTGCTATGTAATTTGGTAGGTCTTTTAATTTGGGGCACAAAAAAATTACTATTTATATTACTTGGCATTTTTATTTCATAAAAAAATATGAAAATAATTAAAAATAATGCATTATAACAATAGCAAAATGGTTAGGTATTTTTAAAAATATATGTTAAACATATAATATTGTTATATGGTCAATATAGAAAGTATATACCCCTGACCTTATGGGTAATGGGTATTCTGGTCGAGCACATGTGCGTGCTGTTAAGGTACAGCTCCATTCGCTGCGCTTAACAGCACACTTTACCCTTAACAGCACGCTGTTAAAGTTAACATGGGCTTGGGTGTTCGCGCCTAACAGAGCGGCTTTCCCACCTCGAATGCCAAAAGATTTACCACCGTGCAAACAAACTCAACATTTTTGCATGGGCATACACACACACACACATACACTCATATGTATGTATGCGGATCTCTCGCCATGTTACAAAAAGGATGAACTTTTTGGCGATGGCAATGAATGAAAAAAGGGAAATGGCGATTGCGAATGCGAAATGCGCTTACCTGCGTCGCTGCCTGGCCTTCCTTTCGCGGCAGTGGCGTGCGAAATGGCCGCGGCCGCCGCATTCGTAGCACTTATCGTCGCCACGACCTCCGCCGCCGCCGCCACCGCCTCCTCCACGGTCGCGTCCGCTCAGTCCTCCGCCGCCGCCGCCACCGCCTCCTCCTCCCCCACCACCGCCGCCGGATCTGGCGTACTTCCCGGTGGACAGCTCCACCCGGGCACGGCGTCCGCAGACCGTCCGGCCGTCCAGGCCGCGCACCGCGTCCGCCGCATCGCGGGCACTCTCGAACTCAACGAAGGCAAAGCCCGGCGGATTGCGGGCAATCCAGACGCTGCGCAGACTGCCGTACGCCCCAAACACATACTCCAGATCGTTCTTGCGGGCATTGTTGCCCAGATCGCCCACGTACACCTTCCTATCGCTCGGATGGCGCGACATTTCTGTTTCTGTTTATTTTATTTGGTTTGGCTTTTCTCTGCGTTCTGGGCCCTGTGTTAATGTGGCAGCAGCAGAGGCAGCAGCACAGCAGCTCAGAAAAAATCGATGATGGGTTTGGATTCACTTGCCACCGCCTTCCTGGGGAGCCCGATCGGTCAAACGCGCACTGGCGAACGCTTTTAATCACTCAACGCGGTCGGCAACTGCGAATTTTTATGTTTATTTTCTATTTAATGCAGCGCAAAACTCATTTTACCGGGTAGCAAACAGAGTGACCGTGGGCGGACCGTTAGAACAAGCCGGAGGACTTGCGAAGAAATACCAAAAGTTATGCTTAATCTGCGGTTGACGGTCCTCTAATAGCAGGATGGTCTGGCAACGCTGCATGGCAGGGACGGCGAATATATTTAAGATTTTTATCTGAAGCTAATTTTAACAATTTGTTTTTAATTTACATCAGTGATGCTAATTCTTAACTGTTTAAATAAGATAAACTTGTATAAAATTAGAATTTTATTGATTTTAAATTTCTTTAAACAATTTATAAACAATCAAGTTTACAAAACAGTTTTCTCAGCAATAGAAAAGAGAAAACAAAAACATTTTTTAAGCCCTTTATATGTCCTTAATTCTAATGCCGAGGTGTTAACAGAACAGAAGGGGGATTCCCTAAACTGTTGAATTGCTGAATTGTTGAATTTTGGTCAGCTGTTAATCAGCTGTTCCATACAAAGTCAACTTTCAGAAATTTCAGCAATTCATCAGCCTCGGGGCTGCTGAAAATTTTGTTGAATTGCTGAAAAGCCAGAGTTGTCACCTTTTTTTAAAAGTCGTGGCAACTCTGTAACATTTTAGTATCACCAGTACGCATTATTTATTTTAAAATCAACTTAGAAAGCATATTTGTGGTTCTTTTTACCTTGGTAACACTTTTAGACAGTTACTAGCAATAATAAATCAAATTTTACATGCTTTAAGTTCCGTGAAACTTTTCAACAAATAACAGCTGTTTGAAAATTCAACAGGAACCATTTTAGGTCGTTCCCTTAATTGCTGAAATTTTTTGTTGAATTTTCAACAATTCAGCAATTCAACAGTTTAGGGAATCCCCCTAGAAAATTTTAAATTTTGAAAGTATTTTATAACGTTCAGTATATTTAAGTATTTTTTACGAGTATGAATTAGTACATTCTCAATGACCCGCGGTATTTTTTCCCCCGATCGGCGGTCACACAGCATTAAACGTGGCGGCGATTTATCATATAAGTTAGGTTATAATATCGTATGCATCAAAATCATACAATTATTTATAAGCTAGTTTTTTAAGGAAAAAACACTTAAATTTAGTGAATTTGCAGTGCGAAATCTTTAAAAAACCACAGACGAACACTTGGCACAAACGGTAAGAATGGAAAGCGACTGAAAATCGCATTTACATAACAATTACGGTGCTTTAACAAAATGCCTGCCTAGCCTTTCCTTTCCAAAAAAAAAAAAACGCCTGAATACCTGACGCAGCTGCCATTGCTCGCTGTGCGAATGTGTTTGTGTGTGTGGGGCTAAATTGGTTCGAATCGCTTGTTTCTTCGCCTTTTCCTTTTTTCTTGTCAAACCGAGGTCTGTGCAATTTTCAGCGCTTTTCCGTGCCACTTTTGGCACTCTATTTCCACCCATCAAAGTGGAAAATTTCATATTTTTATACATACATACGAAAAAATGCTATGTATAACACCACACCAACGCACACGCACACCACTGCAGAACGCTCGGCGGCCATTCGAATCGCGCACACACACGCTCGCACGCGCACACGTACGGCCAACTCATGCACTCACACACGGCAGCAGATTGCGGTGCAAAATACAAAAATCGTGCGAAATTTGTAAAATTGCGTAGTAGAAATCTTGGTTAATTTCGCCAACATTTCCCCGGTCCGTTAGGTAAAATATGAAAAGTGTACCCGGCGTGACCTGTGCATCCGTGATTTCGTGATTGTTCTGCTAAGTAACCTGCTTGGGTGAGGAAAATAGAGAATAAATAAAGTGAAATGTGTTTGTTCCATTTTCTAAGAATCCGAGAGCCAAAAAATGTCTTGAGATTTCTTTGTTGTAGCATTTTTTTTTCATCAGGCACGTCTTCCATTTTGTTTTTTTTTCTTCGTTGCCTCTGCCGTGGTGAATTTCCCACACACTCTCGGTGCGGTTCATTCAGTTCAGTCGCGAGTACTCCGTCAGAAAAAAAAGTAATCGGTTCAAGCTGGAGGAAAACTCAAAAAGAATTGTTTGTTTTTTCTTTCGACGGAATTAACATTTATTTGAGGGCATTGGTTTTTGGTACGTTTGCTTTTCGCTTTCCATTCGCGTTCACGTCACACATGGCGTTGCCACATGTTTTTTTACTTGTTAATGGGCAAAATGTCTGCGAGCGAGCTGTGAGTGCAGTAAAACAGGGTTTACGTGATAACCAAGTGCAGACGAGTCCAAAATTTGGTGTCATTCGCATTGAAAACTCAAATATATTTGTGTGAATTTGTTTATTTGGCCCACATCTGGCTATAACCTGGAATCCCCTGGCGAATGGCGCGCAAATGTGGTGAACCGGCGACAGCTCTCTTTTCACCTTGGAAATAAGTTCGTTGTTCTCATTGATAGGCGGCATGTGTGTGTGTGGGTGTGAGTGAGGCTGGGGACTTTGTTACAACAACAAATCCGCTCGTGACACAGCGAAAAGAAAACAATACTTTCACGTAGCCGTGTAAAAGCAAGTGAAAGACGAAGAGAGAGTGGTGGGGAGTGGAAGGAGGAGCAAACTTGTGAACGTGTACAAAAAGCAGTTAGACGGCCAACACACACACTCGCACTTGCTAGGGAATGTCTTTGGCAGTATGGGTACCGGCCGGTTGCTTCTGCCGCTTTTTTTTTTCTCCATTTTCTGCCTACCTGCGCCTTTCATAATTACTATGCCTACTATTTGGCTCTCTTTCGGTGCGTGCGTGTGTGTTTTTGTCATCTGGTCGTTTCCACCCATTCGCACCCAAGATCTTTACACAGGGAGAAAAATTTGCTCACGATACTACTACTTCACATTTGTTGAATTTCCGTTTCTCTTTTAATTTTTCTCTGTGTAGCCATTTAATTAGCCAGATTTTATTAATTCTTTTTCTGTATCTTTCCATGTGCCTGCAAACGAATACCACAAACAACATCGATATTGTTACGATAGAAAGTTACGTGTGAACGTCGTGGCTTTTGTTTAATTGTTTTGAAGGAAAAGAACTTTGGCAACGTTTAAACCAACCTACATACAAAACCACAAAAAAAAGAAGAAACCAGCAACAGTGTAAAAATTGAAAAAGTGCTCCCCCCAAAAAGAAAAGCCGAACACAAGTTAATTTCTTTGCACCCCGTGTTAATAAAAAAGCGTCAAGATTACGTCAATTATTGAGAACCTACCCGGCGCCATAGCTCACAACCACAACCAGAACAACATCATGGAGGAGGACGAGAGGGGCAAACTGTTCGTGGGCGGCCTGTCCTGGGAGACGACGCAGGAGAATCTGTCGCGGTACTTCTGCCGCTTCGGCGACATCATCGATTGTGTGGTGATGAAGAACAACGAGAGCGGCAGGTCGCGCGGCTTTGGCTTCGTGACCTTCGCCGATCCCACCAACGTCAACCACGTGCTGCAGAACGGACCGCACACGCTCGACGGCCGAACCATCGACCCCAAGCCGTGCAATCCGCGCACGCTGCAGAAACCGAAGAAGGGCGGCGGCTACAAGGTCTTCCTGGGTGGCCTGCCCTCGAACGTCACCGAGACCGATCTGCGCACCTTCTTTGGCCGCTACGGCAAGGTCACCGAGGTGGTCATCATGTACGACCAGGAGAAGAAGAAGTCCCGCGGCTTCGGTTTCCTCTCCTTCGAGGAGGAGTCCTCCGTCGAGCACGTGACCAACGAGCGGTACATCAATCTGAATGGCAAGCAGGTGGGTGATCGCCGGGAATTTATATTGTTTTGATTATTTCCATAACATGAGTAAATAATTTCCTTACAAAATCCAAATTGTTTTTAACATTTGGGTTCGTATTGTGCTTTAATCGATGATTTAATTTTTGTTGATACCATTTTCCACGATCTTGTTAATTTTTACTTTGACTAACTAACCTATTCAACTTTAACAATTATCTTTTTCTAAAGTGTGTTATCATAAATAGGTTCTATTAAGTTTTTTTCCACATCTACTTCAATTTATAGTAAATCATTATAGTATCATTACTATGCCATTCTTAACTTTATTTTATCAAAAATAGTTTAGTGAATTTTTTAAAAGGTTTTTGTATTTTCTTTTTAATTTTTAATTAATTAATTTTTCTATTTAATTTTCTAAAAAAAACAATATTAGATGTATGGTTTATTTTAATTTTAACTACACAAATGCACAAATGCTTGCAGAACTATTATTAATCAATTTATTTACCCACCCCCCAGGTCGAGATCAAGAAGGCCGAGCCTCGTGACGGATCTGGTGGCCAGAACTCCAACAACAGCACGGTTGGCGGCGCCTACGGCAAGCTGGGCAACGAGTGCAGCCACTGGGGACCGCACCACGCTCCCATCAACATGATGCAGGGCCAGAATGGCCAGATGGGTGGACCACCACTGAATATGCCCATTGGCGCGCCGAACATGATGCCTGGCTATCAGGGCTGGGGAACGTCGCCGCAGCAGCAGCAGTACGGCTACGGCAACAGCGGCCCCGGATCGTACCAGGGCTGGGGAGCTCCGCCAGGACCCCAGGGACCCCCACCGCAGTGGTCGAACTACGCTGGACCGCAGCAGACGCAAGGCTACGGCGGCTATGACATGTACAACTCGACGTCGACCGGAGCTCCTTCGGGACCATCGGGCGGCGGCAGCTGGAACTCGTGGAACATGCCACCGAACTCTGCCGGACCCACTGGGGCACCGGGAGCCGGAGCTGGCACCGCCACGGACATGTACTCGCGTGCCCAGACCTGGGCGGCGGGCGGTCCCTCGACCACCGGACCCGTGGGCGGCATGCCGCGCACCGGACCCGGCAACTCGGCCTCCAAGTCCGGCTCTGAGTACGACTACGGCGGCTATGGTTCCGGCTACGACTACGACTACAGCAACTACGTGAAGCAGGAGGGCGCCTCCAACTATGGAGCTGGGCCGCGGTCGGCGTATGGCAACGATAGCTCCACGCAGCCACCCTATGCCACCTCGCAGGCTGTCTAAGGAGGATGTTCGAGTGGAGGAGGAGTAGGAGTAGGAGTAGGAGTAGCGGAGCAGAGCAGAGCAACATGTCGTCGTCCTCGGCGAATGATGAAGAAGACAGAAAAGATGGTGGTAATTGTAAGCTAAAGCGTCGTCTGTTCGTTTTTATTTCAGATCAGATCAGTTGTTGAAATTAATATTTAAAACTCTTGTACAACTATTATTTAAAGCGAAACAAATTTAACACGAGAATACCTAGCGACAAGTCAGATTCATAGATATACATGTATGTTCTATAGAAGCGAGTATGTAATTCATAGGCGAAACATCAGCACACACACTCACCCATTTAGACAAGAGAACATTATTTCTTTCATGCGCCTCATAAAAAAACAAAACAAAACACAACACACCACAGCAACTGGCATTCTCCTGTATCCCACACTCACCAACCAACAAACCAATCAGCCAGAATCAACTAACAAGAACTTCCCAACCAACTAAAACCCGTAGACACATATGATACATGGCATTAACAACCAACAACAACAAACAAAATAGAAATGTGAAGATTTAAACGTAATGATTTACAAGTATAAAGTTTAGCTAATTAGACACAAGAAGATCAAGAATAGAGTGCGAAATACCAACACAAAGAAAATAAGAACTTATAATTTTATTTAAAGAGTAAACAAGTAAAGATGATCCCTTAATTACTAAAATTAGTAAATACAAATTCGAAATTGTACATTTTAAAGCAAAAGCATGTCGGTCTGCGATCTGCTTTCGCCACCACCCGCTTTCTATATCGGGGCGACAAGGTTTAGTGAGGGTTTGACAAGGAATCGGCTGGAGTAGAAGAGATATGTAGAGTCTATTCTGAGAATTCTTTGCTTGCCTTAGCCTTTGTGACTCATGATGGTTCGGCCGCGACATTTTTTTTTTTGTTTTTCGAGACAATGGGCGAATCTAATCGGCAACTGTGTTTTATCGACCCACAACGGGGTCGCTGGATGAGAGGGCGTGGTGGCGGAAAAGGGCGGTACTGACTTGGGAAGATACGTTACAAAATTAAAAATTTACCATTTAAAGTAAACAAAACAAAAACTAGCTAAAAGTTAAACTACATATATAAAGAAACCTAATTAATAAGCGTACGTGGTCGTTTACATCTAAGCGAAAGTTGAACTTGAAACTAGAATTATATAGTGCGTTGGATTTATTATTTAGTTAAAGCGAAGTGAAGAAGCCAAGCAGCAGCAGCATGATAATGATGATTGATTATAATGGATATGGAAACCAACAAAACACACTCTTAACCAATATACATAAAAACTATATACATACATACTTATATACATACAATATATATATAACGAGTTATATAGAAGGAAACAAAAAAGGAAAAAAGAGTAAAAAAAGAGCAAAAGGAAACGTAAATTTAAAGCTACAGTTAATGAAAGTAAAGAGTACAGAGTTAAAAGCAAAAAAGAAAACAAGAAAGGGAGGCAGGCAGAGAGAATAGGACAAGTTAAACAAGTTACAAAATACGATGCTTAGAGTTGCGTTGCACATTTTTTTCAAATTTTCATCGTTTGCCAAGCAGACAACAACCACAGCAGGAACAACAACAACAACAACCAACGACAACAACCAGCTAAAAGTGTGCACTACAATAACATCAGTCAACAACAACAACACCATCAACACGCACACCCACTCACACTTAACCCCATTTAATAACAACAACAAGAACAGAAGCGAGACACAGAGAGAAAAGAGAAGGGTAAAAGGAAAAGAATGAGCAAATGGAAAAGTAAAAGTAGAAGCAAAAGGAAAAGGATGAGAAGAACTTTAATTGATTATGAACATAACATATATATATCTTTAATTACTTATACATATTTACTCTTAACTACTCTGCACGCTCACTTAAACGAGCGTGCACTGTGTGTAAAACAAGATGAAAGTAAACTATTTTAATGATGATTATATGATTGCGATTTTACAATTTATTATTACAAAAAGAAAAGATGAAAAAACAACAAAAACAAAATGAGAAACATACATATTATATGCTAATACATTTACCATACACATATATTATAAAATATGAAGTAATTTTTTCTATTAAAATACCATACACTAATTTTTAATTTGTTTATTTACAACAAATCAACTTACAATACATACATTTAATTACAATATACAATACAAGTACTTTACTTTATTTTTCGGTGATTTATTGCTTAGTGTTCTTCGTATAATTTGTACTCTACTACAACAAAACAAATCCTACAGATATAAATTCCTAATTTAATTTCGTTTAAATTACAAATACATATGCTTACATTTTATAACTAATTATACAATTTTTAAAAAAACCAACACAAAACAAAAGCAAAAAATGCTAAAACAATGAGCAAGTAAACGAGTAAAGTAAACGTGTGAAAAACGTTTCGATTTTTGAAAAAAAAACAACAAAATCTTTGAAAATTCATTGAATTTCAATCTTTTTCTTTTCACTGTATCGTTTTGTAACGGTGTGCGTGCCTGAGTGTGATTGTATGTGTCCGTTTTTTTTCTGTTAGTGTTGTCGTCGCAGAGGTCACATCGAGGTCAGCGAGTGGGCGGCGAGATGATGGCGTGACGCGGGGAAGGATCAGTTGATCAGCGGATCGATCAGCTGAGGAGTTTGAAGAACATGGAGGGAAATGCTTTAGACTTTGATTTTTAAGTTTCGGTCAGCATTTCCAGTAAAGTCGGCTGCAGCAACCAACAACACCATCCTGGATTTGCTGTGGATGCATTCAGAAAAAAGAAAACAATTTGACATAATGTTTAAAAAAAATGGCCAGCAAATCAACCTGATGTAATTTAATAAGATGAACACTATTATTTTCTGGTGGTTTATATACCTGGGTATCATTTTTGTTTTTATGATAAAACCTATTGCAACAATTTAATGAATTGCAAATAATTAACATGTACGTTGTGGAGGTTAAAGTAAAATTATAAACCAATTCAAGCGATTAGAGATTTCTTAGAAGACAAAACACATACACTGACTGTTAATTGTAAAACAATTTCATTTTTTAACATTTTATTTTAAAGTTGAATACAACATAAATTGTTTTTTTATTAACCTAAACGTAAAGAACCCTATTCAAAATGAAATACATACAATATATGTGCATCGTAAACGTAATAAACAAACAAAAATATATATGAATAAACCTACTATATACAACTATATATACTATATACATATTAATTATAACATATAACGATTTAACGGTAAAATAAATTTAAATATTGTATTAAACAAAGTGTTGCACTTTCAAGCTAAAACAGAAGAAATAAGAGAATTTAAAATTAAGTGTAAATGTTTGGCAGCACACGTACACACACACACACATGCATACACTTTAGAAAAAAACGTTGCAGAAAAAGTCCAATTGCAACAGAGGTGAACGAACTCGACATGTCCAGACATCCGGAGAAATCACATTCACATTGGAGCACCAGAGAAGCAGAAGCAAAATAATAACCAAAATCAGATTATTTCATTATGTTTTTCGTTCCCATTTGATGTCATTTTGTGTATATGGCTTTTGTTCCTTCATTATTGTTGGTTTCCTTATTGGCCAATTAATGACGGGATGACAAAATCGCTTTGATTGATTGTTATCGAGAATTGTGTATCGGTATTGGTTTGATTTCGACAGCTTATCGAAAGTTTCGGTTGCCTTTTTATTGTTGCATTTGTTTTTATCAGCTTGGTTTCGGCTTTTCGACGTTTCGATTGAAGAGATCAGATCATAGGAACCACGAATGAAACAATAATGTAAGGGTTATATTATTTACCATACTGATAAGCTAACATACGAATGATGCGCCAAAATGCAAACCAAAATCACAGACGAGAATGCGTTTTTTGTATACATTGTATAGCTCTACATACGTATATGCATAAAATATAGCTCTAGGAGAAGAGAGAAATGAACTAGATACTTATCAATACTTTCGAACTATAATTCTTACGATTAAGTTTTCTCGAATTTGTTTACGAATCGGAAATGTCGACTGGTACCCATAGTTAAGATAAGAGAACATCTATTGAACAAACACACCAACTCGGTACACTCAGATCCTTTTCTAACTACGCTAGAAGGCTAGAATTTTAAATGTGTTTTGTCCCATATTACCCAAGACCTCCCTGGCTTTTCTAACCCCTCAAAATGAGAGTTGTTTTTATGTAATGAAGTACTCTTAGCGATTAAAGACTAGAATGATTTGAAATAAGATGAGATTTAACAGATATCTAAGCTAAATTCCTAAGACAAAACGATTCCACCTAAGACACCTTTTTGTAATGACTAAATTTATATAGGACAAGACAAGGATTTAAAAGAACAACCAAATAAATAAAAGATAATGAAATCAATAAGATTAAAGATCAACAGGCATATATACATATGTATGTGGGTGGCATGTTTTGTATCTGTATTTCAATTTGATTATTTTTTATCATTTCCGTTCTTATATACATATAATATTAGTAACAGTTTCCCGATCATTGTGTAGGAAGAAAAGCGTACTCGGTTAAGAGAAGTCGAAGTTGAATGATAATTGTTAATGCCTGCAAGTTAAGAGACAAATTATGTAATACAATACTTAGTTAAAAGACAGCACACTGATCCCTTTTAAAGCCCGACTTTCGTTCGTTCTTAAGCAAAAATTCGAAACGAGGTATGTATGTATATGGTAATTTTAAAATGTAACAAACGCAGAGAATAGTGAACAAAAACTAATTTGTATGTAGTTAATAATGATAATAATAAATACAAAATAGACAAAAATACGGAAAAACACAGAAAAAAAGAGGAAAACTAAGCAAAATAACTAAAATAAAACAAATCGCAAAAAAAAACAAAATTGAGACTGTAAACGAAAGGCAACATAATGGAGCAGTTTAAGGCGAGACGATGTTGAACAGAAAAAAGGCTAAAACACGAAACTATACAACTCGTAACTCGAATAAATCACTGATGAATAGGCTACCAACATAAGTTCGTATAAGGTTTTTGTTTACACGGAAATTGTACTCAAATTGCATTTTATTTCAGTTTTTTGTCCTAGCGAATTCTGTACATTATGGAAAGTAGATTTCGTTTTCCCCACTATTGTGTGTTAAACAACTCGAGTAAACTACATACTTAATATAAATTAGCAAGTCAACAAATTAGACCGCAGGCTGCATGGTACATAAGAATAACGAAACCGAATCTAGATGATGAAGATATTTAAGCGTTTGTTAGCCAAAAAGATAACTTTCGATGAATTTGAATTTTTTACCAACAAAAACTAAGGAAACTGGAATCTTAAACTGATACTGAAGCAGTTAGTTGTACGCACGTGCGACTGACCCAGAGAACACATAGAAACCTCCTAAAAACTGCATATACATATATAGGGACTTACTTGTAAACCAGATTGTAACGATTTTAGGCATATAAGTGTTGCGACTTGGGTCTGTAAACGGGGAAACGGAAACTTGAAGGGAAACTGGAGAGGAAGCCACGTTTTGTCACTTTCCAAGCATTCATTTTGAAATAATTTCTTAGACTTTTCTACACGTACTTTTAGATCGAGATAGCGAGGGAGTGAATAGGAGTTTAACATTAGCATTTGATGGCAGCTGGGCGAACGTGGTACAGTGCTTAAGGATTAACATTGACGTCAGGATTTAACTTAACTTAACTTACATACATAGATACAAGGACATCAACAGAGGAAAATATTGAGAGTAACAAGGAGAACTTGAAAATGAAATACATATAGCGTTGCAAGATTTTAGTTTACGGTAAACTTAAAGAAATTTTTTACAATGTATTTATACATACCTAAATTTAAATTTTAAATTAATTCTTTAATGTAATACGAACACAGTGCCTAAGTAATATCAAAACAAAAATCGAAAAAATAAAAAGGAAATAAGGATTTAAAACATACAAAACGAGAATAAGAGCCGCAAGTAAGGACATTGTTACTAATAATGCTAAAAACTTAATCGAACACCTTTTAAAGCAACAGAAAAGCATTCGAGCGACAAAAATTGAACAACTTAAATAAGCCAATAAACGAACATTTGCATACAAAAGTTTATAATTATAAATGTGTGCAAGGAAAAACCACAAGCAAACACAGACAAACACATACATACACTAACTATGAGAGGAAGAACAAGAGCAGGAAACGGAAGCTGAAAACTGATCACAAGTTAATACCCAAGAAATAGTTCGCATAAATGTATAAATGTAACTCAAACGAACATGAAACGCGGAAGCGCTAAGTAATTACTACACAAATAAATATTGCAACGTACCCCCTACATACGTCTCGTATCTCGCACTGGATTTACGTACAACCCACATATATCCTCCCCCTAACCCCCCTGTATCCTTAAAGGGCTATTCAATCAATAGATTCTATTTATTTGAACATGCCACGTACTCAAAATGACATCAAATTGAAACTTGTAACTCTTTGTTTGCATATTGGATTGGATATCTATTAAAAACCCTAAAAAATGTTTAAAACTAAATTGAATTACGTTGGATTCATTTGACAAAAAGCAAAAAACAAATACAAAAGGAGTAAGCAACAATAAGTAAATTACAACAAATTAATTATACAATTTAAATTTATTTAACGAACAAAATTAATGTAGTGTGTAAAAAAAAACAAACAAAACATGAAAGTAAAAACAAGTTTTAAGCAAAACAAAATACTTTGAATATATACATAAATTGCAAGTAAATAGAATAAATGTCACTCACTCTTTTTATTTAAGTCTTGTACTGATCGAGAATTCCTGGGATTTATCAAAATATTCAAACTCGGAATCAGAAAATTGAAAAAAAAAATGAGCGCAAAGCATTTGAAATTTCTGTAAGGGAATAGAGTATATATTTAAATTCGGGAAGGAAAAAGTACTACCCCTACAGATTTCAATGTTGGAAATCGTAGTACTCTTCCTTCTTAGTTCCGTGTCATTTTTCTTTGCAAATTTGGAGAGGCCAACCACATTTTGGGGACATTTCTATGCAACATGTCCAATTCTAATGGGACTACTATCCGCTGGATTGGTTTACATAAATGTAAATGTAATTCTCTTTGCCACAAACTCAAAATATTTTAACTTTTCCATGTTTATAGAAATAGAAAGACCTTTATTCCTCTTCAGTAAAAACAAACCACACGTCTCGATGGATTATTTGAAAAAGATGACTTTATTTCGGCTGAGTGTTCAAATAAAAATGTAAACTATTCAAAAACAACAAATAATTATGATGGCAATTCGGGAGCCAATGATAGCGAGGGTTATTCGAACGTCTACAGCTACTAGATTAGAATGGATCCTATGAGATTGAAACCTATTAAGCGACGGTGACTACTTGGCTACGCGACGTCTTGTGGTTGGTGTGGTGGGTGCTCCGCCACTCGGCGGTTTGGGGATCTGCAATGGATAACCGGATCAGAATCATATAGGATTTCAGTTAGAGATTGCATATATCTTACAGAACGAATGGGCCTGGGTGTGAGGGAATTGGCAGGCGGCGGCTCGCGAGGTTGGGGTCCATCGGGATGTCCCACTACGGTGACAGCCACGGGTCTCTGGTCTGTTCCTCCAGCTCGTTCCATGCTCTCGCTGCGAGAATTGGAGCCAGAGCGCTTGAACATCCCAGAGAGCCGGCCACGAAGATCCTTCTTGCTCGATCTCAAGTCGCTGGCAACGCTGATGTCCGAGTCAGATCCTTGAATCTATTGAAAGATAAATAAATAAATATTAGAATTTGATAACTAGTGTTTTTTGTTTGTCATAGTATTACTGATATTTCACTCTCGGAATTGCGACTGCTTTTGGTCAGGCTGCGCAGCTTGCCCATGATGCCCTTCTTCTTCTTGCGAGGTCCTCGGGGTATGTCGCTCTGGGTGGATCCACCAGATAGCCGCGAATCCAGGCGTGAGTCCAAGCTGGAGTCCCTGACAAGGCCACCCAGTTCGGAGTCTATTGATTGCATTGAGGACACACTGCCATCGTCCTGCCGCCAAATATTCTACGAGGATAATTAAAGTGGATTTTATAAGTCGACTTATAATTGGCAAATTTTCCATATGATTCCTTATAAATTACATATTACAGTGATGTACTATTTTAGCACATTATTATTATTATTAGTTTTGTAAGTTTTCAGGGGCACTTTAAAATATAATTTTCCAAATTAAGAAACTTTGAACTTTATATCAACAATTAATATTTAAATTAATTTAAATTTTCCAGCATTAAAAATGAATATTCCTGATGCTTAGCTCACCTGATCCCTTTGTATGGAGTGATCCAGCGAGAGGCTCTTGCGAATCAGACTTCCATTGTTGGACGAATTCCGGGACAAACGTCCTCCTCCCCTCTGTGATCCTGCTGCACTGGCCACCGAACTGGTGCTGCCGTGCGGATCGTTCTCCTGCGAGGCAGCTCGGCGCAAATTGCTCCTCCTCATCCGGCTGCGCTCCTGTTCGTCCTCGTTCACCCGCTGGAACTTGCGCAGCTCCTCCGAGGCTTCCGCCAGTCTGGCCAGGACACTGGTGATCTGGGAGCTGCTCAGGGTGGGCGAAGGCGAGCGGCTGCGACGCACATTCGGCTGCTCCGGTCGCAGGTTCTTGTCGTAGCCGGAGCTGCTGCTTCGAGCTGATCCTCCGCTGCCCACCATCTTCAGGTCGGGAGCAATCTTTACCAACTCGTCAACGGTCTGCAAAAGGGCGCCCACCTTGCGATCTCCGCCATCCGCCTCCATGCGTCTCTTGATCAGCTCCTTTTCATAGCGTTCGCGCTGGAATAAAGAGATAATAATAATAACAAGTATTACAAATGAAATATAAACAGCTTCAATTTTAACATAAATTGTTATATATCTTAGCTTATTTTTAGCAAAGTTATAATGTATTCTTTTAGTTTTCATATCAAGAAATTAAAGGCTTTTTAAATTCCTTTTTATAAACTTTTGGAGGTAGATGAAAAAGCCCTATGAACAACATATACCTTTGAATTTTAAATTATAGCATTCATATGTATATTTAATGTATAATTTATTCTTTTTGTTTTCATATCAAGAAATTAAAGGCTTTTTAAATTCTTTAAATCTTTGGAGGTAGAAAAAAGAAAAAACTATGAACAATATATACCATAGAATTTCAAATTATAGCATTCATATGTATATTTAAATGTAGTTTTTTAGAACCACTAGGATTGTTTGAGTCGGTAAACTTAACTATACTACACCGCATTCTATGAAATATCTTCGGCTGTTATCAGCTCGACTAAAGTTCATACAGGCATTTCGATAACGAATATAGCAAGCCCCAGTGGCCTAATGGATAAGGCATCGGCCTCCTAAGCCGGGGATTGTGGGTTCGAGTCCCATCTGGGGTAAAGTTAATTATCTTTTTTTTGTATAATTTGTTTTTTATTTATAATTTTTTTTTTGGAATTTTTCATTGTTTAATATCAGAAGACTGGCCCCATTCTTTCCCATTAAATATAATCCCGAAACTCTTAAAAGTCGGTTTTTCAATGATAAAATATTTGAAAAATACATGAAACACTCACCTCGCGTCTCAACTTCTCATTGGAGGTGCGCAGCTTGGCATGTACATCCCGAAGCTCCAGTAGATCACACTGTAGCTCGGCGATCTTCTTGCGGCCCTCCTCCATTTCCTCCTCTGTGGCCCGCTTGATCTGGTCCAGCTTCCGCTTGGACTCCAGCCGCTCCTTGTCGCGCTCCCGTTCCACTTCGAAGAGGGTCTGGCGAAGATCTCGCGCCAAAGTGGAGGTCTCCTGCAGCAGTCGCTGCTGATCCTCACGCTCCTTCTGCCAGGACAGCTCCAGCTTGGTCTTCATGCCCGGCAGCTTGGTGCTGCCCGATCCGATGACGCGTTCCTCTTCGAACTCGTTGAGCTTCGATTGCATTTCGGATATCTTGATCTCATTGGCACTGCGCTCGGAGACGAGTTCTGTTTTTATCTTGCTGGACTCAAGGCGCGACTCCACCAACTGATCCTCTAGATGGCCAATCTGGATTGGAAAAGCGATCGTTAGCTTTAGGTTTACTATAAGAGATTCCTTAAGATTTTAACATATTTACCTGCTGTTCTAGATAGGCAATCTTGCTCTTGTCATCATCATCGCTGCTGTGCATGGAGCCACGACTCTGTCTTCCCGTATTATTGGCCTTCAGATCGCCAATCTTCTTTTGGGCCACTTCCAGCATCTGCTTAAAGGCATCGCGATCCTTTTTGAAGCGTTCACATTGGCGCTGTTTCGAAGGGATATATTTATCAGCGTGATTTTTTCAGTGTATTCTTATATTTCTTACCTGCATGGAGTTAAGTTCTCCGCTGAGGTTCTTCACCTGTTGCTCATAACGAAGTCTTACTGTGGCCACTTCCGATTTCATCTGCAGTTCAGTGCTCTGTAATCTGTAATGCAAAGGAAATCATGTTTTAAAGATGATATTTTATTATTGACCTTATAATTAAGTTTGTATTGTTATTTGTAAGTTAAATGTTAAACTTTTTATATAATAAGAACACCCAAAAAAAATCGATATGAAACGTAGGTAGATTTTACATTATTTAAGATCAATTTTATATGAAGCCCGGTAAATTTGACTTGGTTGATATGGGTTTTGCATGAGCTGAAACTTACATGACCATATCGATTTTACGGGAACATGCTTTTTTTTGTGCGAAGAAATTTGAAACTTTAATCAGCAGAAAGCTATGGCTATCGCAATAATGTATTTGGAGGAATGATTAAAATGGGATAAAAACATATCTCCGCCGTCATAGCCCAATGGATTTCGTCGCAATTTATTTGACATATCTCCCCCATTAATCAATGCGGAGTTATGTCGTCTAAAAACGGAGATATGTCGATCGTAGAAGGGTGGAGATATGACGCTATGTCTTTAAAAAAAGGTCGAGTTTATGTCTGATTAGGAAGTGAAACTTCATCGTTTAATAAATGGCCACTTACTGTTCCTTGAGCTCCCTGATCTCCGCCTCGCGCCTCGCTCCGTGTCCGTTAAGCGAGCTCTGCGCCTGCTCGATGCGGTTGTAGTCGCTCAGCTTGCCGTTCAGATCGTCGTTATCCTTGCGCAGCTGGAAGACCAGATCGATGTTCATCTCGTTCTCCCGGCGCAGTCGCTCGTACTCGTGCTCCTTCTCCGCCAGCTTGTTCTTGAGGACGGTGCGCTCGTACTCGCCCCCATTGCCGTTGACCGTCTTGAGGGCCTTGGCCTGCAGATCGGCGATCTTCTTCTGGGCCTCACTCAGTTTCCTGGCCATGTCGGTGCGTTCGATGCGAATGGTGTCCATTTCGGAGATCTTCTGCTTGTTGGCATTCAGTTCGGCCTGGAGGCTCTGCTTCTCGGTGGTGAGTTGGGCCCTCATTAGGATGGTCTCCTCGGAGAGCTTCTCCCAGTGGTTGTTGAGGTCTTCGTAGCGCTTCTGTTCGGAGCTCAGCGAGGCCTGGACCTCCTCCACCTGCTTCTTGAGGTCCTGCACCTGCTTGCTGTCCGATTTGCTGGCCTTGGCCTTCAGGTCCTTGATCTCCTTCTCCAAACTGGACTTGCTCTTCTCGGCCGACTTCTTGGCAGTCAGCAGATCGGCATCCAGTTGGCTGATCTTGGCCTCCAGCCGCTCCTTCTCCTTGGACTGCTTCTCAATGTCCTTCTCCAGGCTGGAGAGCTTCTCCTTTTCCCGCTTGCTTTGCGACTCCCAGCTGGACTTGCTAGTCTCGCCCAGCTTCAGTTGGGCCTCCTGCTTCTTGACCTTCTCCTCCAAGTCCTTCAGCTTGGAGTTTAGCTTCTTTGTGTCCTCATCACTGCGTTTGAGCTTCTGTTCGAGATCGCTTACCTTGCTGCTTGATCCGTTGAGGAGCTTCAATCGCTGGACATCACCTTCGGCGAGGGAGAGCTTCTGCTTGCATTTCCGCAGATCCTCCTCCAGCGTTCCCTTGGCCGCTTGCAGGGCTTTCAGCTGATCCGTTCCACAGGAACTGAGCATGACCCGCATTTCGCCAATCTCGTCCTCCAGCTCCTCCACCCACTTCTTGAGATGGCTCTTGGGCGTCAGGTCGTTGACCCTCTTGGCCGTGCGAGGTGGCAGCTTGGCCTCCGCCTCCAATTGCATCCGCTTCAGGCGGGCCGTCAGCTCATCCCTTTCCCGCTGGGCCAACGCCAGGGATTCCTTCATCTT